TTATTTATAATTACTATGCTTTAGAACATTTCATTTGCAAAGTGAGTACTGATAAAATAGTATATTAAAAACTTTTAACAGGAGAGTATTTGTTTTCTAAAAAGCACATTATTAAAGGGGGGGGGGGGCGTATATGGAACTGTACACAGATGGGGTCAAGCCCCAGAGAGTGACAGCTCCCACCCAGCTCCACAGGCCACAGCACTTACAGGACAGCTCCCCCAGAGGGCTCACTTCTTGATTCCCTTCATGGAATGATTACATAGTAAAGTTCAAGTGAAAAAAGGTCTCTCTTCAAGTTTATAATAACACTAGAAGCCCAGTGCATGACATTCGTGCACTGGGGGGGGGGGTGCCTCAGCCTGGTCTGCGCCCTCTTGCAGTCCCTTGGGGGATGTCCAACTGCTGGCTTCATGTCAAACTAAGTGTCGGAAATCAATAGGCAACATCATGTTTGGAATAGAATGTGGCATGTCACATGGGTCCCAGTCCACTCCTCGGCTACAGGGGTACTTTCTGGAGAAAAGTGGAGACGCCCAAACAAAGGAATTTTGACAGAACAGAGAGAATGTGTATTTTTTTATATTACCTGTCAAGAGATGCCATAGACCAAAGCTTGTACTTATCTATGATTTCTTACCCCAAAAAACAGGAAAGAAGAAACTGTATGATAAATAGGACATTCTTCCATTGGTTGAATTCAGTAGCCTGAAGGAAACGAATGATGAGATTAATAACATTACAGTTTAGCTCTACTGGTTTTACCAAATTGTTCATTTTATTTAGTACAGGAACCAATTTCCCAAACAGAAAATATGTATTTTTTTAAATCCTAGGCAGTACCAGTTATGTGAGATTGGGCAAATTATTTTTCTTCTCTAAAACCTCAGGTTCATTTTACAAAATAAGGATTATTTTCTTAAAACTTCCTCAAAAAATCGATCTGAGGATTTAATAAAATTGTTTAGAACCTTGCGGGTGACAAGAACAAAATGGTAGCTATGTTGCTATGGTTATCATTAAATCTTCACTAAAATTGTAGTCACAAAATCAGGTTAGGTTTGCTTTCTATAAAATAACCTTAGAAGAAAGTTTATTATAAAATTAATAATACTGGCATTAGCCCTAACCGGTTTGGCTCAGTGGATAGAGCATCGGCCTGCAGACTGAAAGGTCCCAGGTTCGATTCCAGTCAAGGGCATGTACCTTGGTTGCGGGCACATCCCCAGTAGGGAGTGTGCAGGAGGCAGCTGATGGACATTTCTCTCTCATTGATGTTTCTGACTCTCCATCCCTATCCCTTCCTCTCTGTAAAAAATCAATAAAATATATTTTAAAAAATAATACTGGCATTAATTATTAATTATGAACTTAAGAAAACTTTAAGTTTTCAAGAATTTGCAAATACTTAGGAAGTATCATAAACAAGTAAACAATTATTTGCTATTTATGAAGCAATAAAATACTTTGGTGGAGGAGCCAGTAGACAGAGAAGTTTAGGACGCGCTTTCTGCTCTTAGTCCCTAGCTGAGAAAATAAAATCAAACCTCTTGAAATGACAGGTGACAATAAAAAGGAGTATTTATTCATGATTTGTCTCTTGCCCGCCTCCCAAAATAATTTTAAGGTGACTCAAGATTATACATAAGTATTGCTGAATAACATGATTAAATGTAAGTTCTATTCACTTTCTGTTAAGCAATACTGTTAGCCAAGTTCTAATAATTTTATGTTCAAAATTATTTAAATCCTTAAGTTTATAATTCAAATTGTTTAAACCAATTAAGTAGAATTCTCTCATCTGATTACTACAACCTTGTCACACTTCACTGTCATCATTTCATTAGTGATGCTTTGCCCACCTCTCTTATCAAAAAGATACACACTCCCTGGCCCGTTTGGCTCAGCAGTTAGCGCGTCAGCCTGAGGACCAAGGACCGGGAGTTTGATTCCTGGTCAAGGGCATGTACCAGGTTGCAGGGTTCCCAGCCACAGTCAGTGCACGATCAATGTCTCTCTCACGTCAATGTCTTTCTCTCTCCTCCCCCCATCCCAACCCCGCCTCCCCCTCTCTTTCACTGTCTCTGGAAATCAATGGAAAAGGTATCCTCGGGTGAGGATTTAAAAAAAAAAAAAGACACACATTAAATGTTGATAATTTCTGAAACTGGTTGCTGGGTACATGGGGATTGTTACACTATTCTCTCTCCTTCTGCATAGGTTGGAAAGTCTCCATCATAAAACTATCTTCAAAAAAAAATGCTTACTTGTGAAAGAAAAGTATGCAATGAGTACAAACCTGTCATACTGACTGGCAAGCCCCAGGCCAATCACAGGGGCAGGAGCATCCCCGTGGCTGACACCAGGACTAAGGTCAAAACCAAACAAACCACAGGAGGCTCTGTGTCTGAAAGTCAGATAAATGGGGAGCAGGAGGAAGCCACACTCCCCCAGCTGAAGCACTGACCTCCCCGAAGATGGCAGGCATGTGTGTGAACAGTGAGTGGAAGCTCTCTGTTCCTGACGCCACTTAGCCAGGGGCGACGGGGGAATGTTCCTGAGTCACAACAACGGCGGGATGCTTTGCCCCTGAAAGTCGGACAGGCTTTAGCTTTGTCTCTCATGATGCTGAGGCCGTGTGGGTAGCATTTAAAAAAGTAAGGTAGCATGACGTTTATTTAAACACAGAAAATAATTCAGGAGTAACAAAGAGCACGTCTTCCTTTACACTTATTATTACTGCAAAAATGTGTTGGTGTATGAATCCTTTCCATTTTGCATTTAAGGACTTTCTAATCATAAAAAGGCATACTTATAGTTCATCAACTGTACCACACTCAATGTCCTTTGGCACAGTGCCAGGTATAGAAACAGCCGCAGGAATGTGAAGTCCAGCCTGGGGCATATAGTCAATAATACTGTGATCACTACAGGGGCATGGATGCCGGAGTTACCCAGGTGATCACTTCTTAAGTCATATAAACGTAAGTGTCTGATCAATACACTGTACGCCTGAAACTAATACGACATTGTGTGTCAACTATGATTTTAAATTTTTAAAATAATTTTTTAAAATAAATAAGTACTTTGACTCAAATGACTAAAGAAAGTTCACCCACTGAGTGTTTTCACAGAGGCCCCATCTGTGAGCAATCGCTGCTATTGGCAGACCAGCTGCCTGTGAAGTCGCAGCCCAGGAGGGACCCCCAGGCAGCGGCTCACCCCCCCCAACCCCCCCCCCCCCCACTGCCCCCCTCCAGTCAGCCAGGAAACCCGACTCCGCAAGTGCTCCTGCCACCAACAACAGAAGCTGACATTTAGTCTGATTCACGAATCGACTCCTGGTACAAACCACACTTGGCTAACTAACACCTCTGCACAGAAAGTGCTTCTCCCTGGTGTCTGGTGCACAATCTGACACGGAGGCAGCCCCGCTGAAAATGACCCCTGGGGAGAAGCTGTCCTGATTCAACTGTGGGCGGGGAAAAGGCCCTCCACCCGCAAGGCCCTTCCGGGGGCTCCTGATCACACGGAGGGAGGCAGGCGGGCAGGAGGAAGTGGCACCTGTCATCACACGCTGTTTAGCCGGTTTGCTCACGGGCACCTAAAATTCCGTGTCTGGTCACCATGCCATTCATGACATTGTTCCCACGGGAAGTATGCTTTTAGTTTCAATCAGCTGTTGAAGGAGTTTCTAGGAATTTCTAGATTTCTACTTCAAGGGAGAAACCCAGGCCTTATCTGCAACAGCCCTGAAACGCCACCAGTCGGCACAGGGGGACTCAGGGACTTCGAAGGAAAACTCGATCCCGTGGCGATGACATGGGGCAAGCGGCGAGGGCACTGCACCGAGGCTCATAGTCTCGCCTTGTCCGTGGCTCCAAGCCTGCGGATGGCGCTGAGAGGGACTGCTTTCAGCCGTCCTGCCTGCTCCTCCGAGGGGGTGCGTGCTGGCACCCACACTGAGCCCCGCTACGCCCTCTGGGCAGTTCTCCATAGAAAACACGGACATGGCTCTCGACTCCAGGGGCGCCGCTGCCAAGCCCACCTGCTGCCCCCTGGTTTTCCGAGAGGAATTGTGCAAGTGAGACAGTTCAGCTTCAGAAACAACGATCAGCCCTGCATCAGCCCAGGAGGCCCCGGAGCCGCAGCCTTCAAACCCGGGAAGGACAGCAGATGGGGCTGCCTCAGCCTGAGTGCCCCCACCGCGCTGACGCCAACTCCAGGATCGCTGCCGGCCGCTCGGACGCCCAGGCCCAGCAGCGCGAGGGTTAACTGGCACCTAGTGTTCCACTTGACCTTGAACATCTGCCTCAGATGCAGGCAACGCTCCTGGGGGCGGCGTGGCTGGCAACTTCTGAGGCAGGGCTGGCAGGGCTGGCAGGGCGGGGCCCCCAAGAGCCGGCCCCCACTCTCTCCAGCTGGGCCCCCTGCATTCCCACTGACACCCCCCCCCCCACCCCGTTTGTCCCTCGCTGGTGTGCAGCGCCTACGGGAGGGAGCAGGGCCGGCAGCGAAAGAAAAGTACCTTCTCAACATTTAAACACAGAGCCTGGGATAAGGGGACAAAGGGCTGGATGTCTGGAACTTGCTTGAAAACATTCCAGGGGTGGGGGTGAGGCACAGGGGCGGGCGCCAGGTGAATGGAAAGGGACCAGCAGCGTGGAAGCTGGGCGCCCCGGAGTTCACTGAGTTATTCTCTCTTCTTTGTCCAGGTTTTAAAATGTCCATGATCAAGGTGATACATAAATAAGTTCACTTTTAACGTCAAAATTCCCTTCCCCAGGCGCCCCACACCAGCAGGGGCAGCGAGACCCACCCTCGGACTCTCGTGGCGCTTCCCCCAAAGCCTCCAGCCACCTTCCGGGCCCAGGAAAGGACATGAGGGGATGTCGGCCACCCCGCTCTCATGGAATCCCGCAAGCTGTCCCCCTTTACTTCAGCGGCACCGGAGGCTACGTAGGGACACCGCCGGCTGCTGGCGAGGGCGGCGGGCTCACCTGCCGGAGGTCCCCGGTGGAGGCGCTGAGGACGAGGGCCGGGACGATCATGAAGCAGGCGTTGTAGAAGAGCACTCCGTACTGGCCCAGCTCCTGCGACAACGGAAACTCCGCTCAGCAGCCGGTCCATCGCTACCGAGCGTGTGCGGTTAGCAGGTGCACCCTGACCAGCTCTGGAGCGGACTATTTCCAGCACATTTCTGACAAAAAGTGCTCCCCTTCAAGTGCACTGTCATCTCAGAATAAACATTCGTTTCACACGAAAAGGACAGATACAACGGAGGCAGATGGATGACCTCCAAGGTTCCACCCTTCTCTGACATTCTAACTTTTTTTAAAGCAAGCTATTAAAAATAGGAACTCTGGCCCTAACCGGTTTGGCTCAGCCGATAGAGCGTCGGCCTGCGGACTCAAGGATCCCAGGTTCGATTCCCGTCAGGGGCATGTACCTTGGTTGCAGGCACATCCCCAGTGGGGGGCGTGCAAGAAGCAGCTGATCGATGTTTCTAACTCTCTATCCCTCTTCCCTCCTCTCTGTAAAAAATCAATAAAATATATTTTTAAAAAAATAGGAACTCTGGGACAAAATAAAGAACATTAAAAAATGTTAATATATTACCCTAGCCAGTTTGGCTCAGTGAATAAAGCATCAGCCTGCGGACTGAAGGGTCCCGGGTTTGATTCCGGTCAGGGGCACATGCCCGGGTTGCTGGCTCGATCACTAGTAAGGGGCGTGCAGGAGGCAGCCAATCAATGATTCTCTCTCATCATTGATGTTTCTATCTCTCTCTCCTCCCTTCCTCTCTGAAATCAATAAGAAAGGAGGGAAGGAAGGAAGGAAGGAAGGAAGGAAGGAAGGAAGGAAGGAAGGAAGGAAGGAAGGGAGGGAGGAAAGGAGGGAGGGAGGGAGGGAGGGAAGAAGGGAGGGAGGGAAAAAGAGAGAAAGAAAGAGAGAGAGAGAAAGAAAATTGTTCCAGCTTTGGCCCTGCGAGCTCTTTAAAAAAAAAAAAAAAAAGTTAATATAAACAGAACTCCTTAGAAACATCTGTTCTTTCCATTGAAGAGCCGCAGGTTAAGACACCAGGTATCTCATGTCCCAATCGCCCATAAATTTACTTCATTAAAGTGACTACACACTTCTCCACCACTGTCCATACAGGGTGACATACTGTGATTCTCAAAAGGCAGCAAACCTGCTTTTGTAAAACTGCCACCATCAAAGAACAAATGGCTGTGCAGAAACAGGCAGTGCAGAGAAGGGCTGTGCAGAGAAAGGCAGTGCAGAGACAGGCAGTGCAGAGAAAGGCTGTGCAGAGACAGGCTGTGCAGAGAAGGGCTGTGCAGAGACAGGCTGTGCAGAGACAGGCTGTGCAGAGACAGGCAGTGCAGAGAAAGGCTCTGCAGAGACAGGCTGTGCAGAGACAGGCTGTGCAGAGACAGGCTGTGCAGAGAAAGGCTGTGCAGAGACAGGCTGTGCAGAGACAGGCTGTGCAGAGAAAGGCTCTGCAGAGACAGGCTGTGCAGAGACAGGCTGTGCAGAGAAAGGCTCTGCAGAGACAGGCAGTGCAGAGAAAGGCTGTGCAGAGACAGGCTGTGCAGAGACAGGCAGTGCAGAGAAGGGCTGTGCAGAGACAGGCTGTGCAGAGAAAGGCTGTGCAGAGAAAGGCTGTGCAGAGACAGGCTGTGCAGAGAAAGGCTGTGCAGAGAAAGGCTGTGCAGAGACAGGCTGTGCAGAGACAGGCTGTGCAGAGAAAGGCTGTGCAGAGACAGGCTGTGCAGAGACAGGCAGTGGAGAGAAAGGCTGTGCAGAGAAAGGCTGTGCAGAGACAGGCAGTGCAGAGAAGGGCTGTGCAGAGACAGGCTGTGCAGAGACAGGCTGTGCAGAGAAAGGCTGTGCAGAGACAGGCAGTGCAGAGAAAGGCTGTGCAGAGACAGGCTGTGCAGAGACAGGCTGTGCAGAGACAGGCTGTGCAGAGACAGGCTGTGCAGAGAAAGGCTGTGCAGAGACAGGCTGTGCAGAGAAAGGCTGTGCAGAGACAGGCTGTGCAGAGAAGGGCTGTGCAGAGACAGGCTGTGCAGAGACAGGCTGTGCAGAGACAGGCTGTGCAGAGAAAGGCTGTGCAGAGACAGGCTGTGCAGAGAAAGGCTGTGCAGAGACAGGCTGTGCAGAGAAGGGCTGTGCAGAGACAGGCTGTGCAGAGACAGGCTGTGCAGAGACAGGCTGTGTAGAGAAAGGCTGTGCAGAGACAGGCTGTGCAGAGACAGGCTGTGCAGAGACAGGCTGTGCAGAGAAAGGCTGTGCAGAGAAAGGCTGTGCAGAGACAGGCTGTGCAGAGAAAGGCTGTGCAGAGACAGGCTGTGCAGAGACAGGCTGTGCAGAGACAGGCTGTGTAGAGAAAGGCTGTGCAGAGACAGGCTGTGTAGAGAAAGGCTGTGCAGAGAAAGGCTGTGCAGAGACAGGCTGTGCAGAGAAAGGCTCTGCAGAGACAGGCTGTGCAGAGACAGGCTGTGCAGAGACAGGCTGTGCAGAGAAAGGCTGTGCAGAGACAGGTTGTGCAGAGACAGGCTGTGCAGAGAAAGGCTGTGCAGAGACAGGCTGTGCAGAGACAGGCTGTGCAGAGAAAGGCTGTGCAGAGACAGGCAGTGCAGAGAAAGGCTGTGCAGAGACAGGCTGTGCAGAGACAGGCAGTGCAGAGAAGGGCTGTGCAGAGACAGGCTGTGCAGAGACAGGCAGTGCAGAGAAGGGCTGTGCAGAGACAGGCTGTGCAGAGACAGGCTGTGTAGAGAAAGGCTGTGCAGAGACAGGCTGTGCAGAGACAGGCTGTGCAGAGACAGGCTGTGCAGAGACAGGCTGTGCAGAGAAAGGCTGTGCAGAGACAGGCTGTGCAGAGAAAGGCTGTGCAGAGACAGGCTGTGCAGAGAAGGGCTGTGCAGAGACAGGCTGTGCAGAGACAGGCTGTGCAGAGACAGGCTGTGTAGAGAAAGGCTGTGCAGAGACAGGCTGTGCAGAGACAGGCTGTGCAGAGACAGGCTGTGCAGAGACAGGCTGTGTAGAGAAAGGCTGTGCAGAGACAGGCTGTGCAGAGAAAGGCTGTGCAGAGAAAGGCTGTGCAGAGACAGGCTGTGCAGAGAAAGGCTGTGCAGAGACAGGCTGTGTAGAGAAAGGCTGTGCAGAGAAAGGCTGTGCAGAGACAGGCTGTGCAGAGAAAGGCTGTGCAGAGAAAGGCTGTGCAGAGACAGGCAGTGCCGTGAACGCAGACCGGGAATGAGCCTGTCATCAGAGCAACCCCCTCACGCGACACAAAGAACTTGGAACCAAGAAACGCATGTCTGGCTCATCCTCAGAGTTTCCAGAACAGCTGGGTGGGGAGAGGGCTGGGGCCTCCACGAGGCAGCAACTCAGAAGAAAAGCTCATCTGCCCACCAGCCCCTCGGGACTGCGGACAGGACTCAGCCACTGCCTCGCCCACAGAGGAGGAAGTGGAGGATGGAGGGTTAGGCTGATGGTCACAATGGCCCCGGGAAGCAGCGACTTCACTGTGGCCCTCATCCCAGACTCTCACCCTGGAGTTGCTCTCAGTCCCTGTCGCAGAGGATGATGGGGAAAAGCTGCTTTTAACTTCAATTTGCCTTTCAAAACAATCCCTTTTATATATTCTGACTTTGCTTCAAAAGAGTGGCATCTTTTCCTGTCCAATCTAATTTTCAACCAAAACTTTGCAAGGTGAGGAGTCACAAGAAACTATATGGACAAGATCACTGAAAAGAAATGAGGGACATTGTGTAAATTACATTACTTGCCAACTTTACAACTCATTTTCTGTTTTCACGTAAGTTCAGGGCCAGATGACACAGCCTGAGACGCAGGAGGGAGAGACGGTACCTTCGGGTCCATTTTCTGCTTCGTGTAGACCCCATTGGCTGCCGTGAAGATGTCATTCAGGAGCACAAACACGTAGCCTTCCAAGTTAAAGGCCAGGTCGGAACTGGGAGGGAGAGCAGAGGGTGATTCAGAAGCTCACAGCTTGGCCCCCACGGCCGCCTGGTCCATCTTTCCCTGACAGATCCGCAGTGATGCGAGTAATTACCCACCCCCCCCCCGCCCCCCGCGGTGAACGCCCACTGCTCTGCTTGGCCTCCAGACAAACAAACCCAGGCCATCAGGCGGCTTCGCCTCCATCGCGAATGGCTTAAACCCAGAGGACATTAACGTCCTGTAACTGCAAAGCCCTTTCTTTTGCTGACGGACCAGCTGGCATGTCTGCTGAGCTCTGCTTTTCTAAGGGGACGGACTCTCCCACACACCCAGCGGCCGTTGCTTATGGTAGCGAACAGGCCCATCCCCAGGGTCCAGCCGTGGGGACAGCTGGGCAGTGACTGGGGCAAGAGGAGTCGCTGGAGAAACTGACGCCTCCATCTGGTGCCCAGTCACACACCGCACCCCCAGCACCTTGTCCGTCCAAAAGGCCAAGCAGGGGCCCATGCTCTCTCTGCGGCTCCTCTAAGGCTCCCCTCCTCCCACTCGCTTGAAGATCTTCTCCTCCACTCCCACTTTAAATAGGTGAGACGAGCATGAAAATGTGTGGGCGCGTGTGGCGTAGGGAAGAGGGAACAGCAGCTCAGCCAGGCTGCCATTCGTCCCGCTGCCCTGGACCTTCCAGGCGGCGTCAGACCCACGTCCTAAGTCACAGACAGACACTGCCCAGGAGGCCCTCGGCCCTCTCACGGTCGGTGACTGGGGCCTGCGAATGTGACTGGCAATGGACAGGTGAGCAGCAAAACTGGGTATGCAAATTGTAGTCATATTTTATGTGTACAGAGTCCACAGAGACGAAGTGGAAGTCCATGAAGCTGTGGACTCGGGGGCTTATAAGCCATTTTAACAAAGAAGAGGGTTTGGGTTTGGAGGAACAAATACATTGCAGGAAAGGGACCGGGCCATCCCTGGGGAAGCTGAGGAGGAGCAGGGTTGTCTGAGGGAGGTCTGTCATGCTGACTCCTCACCGCCCGGGGCAATAACTGCCTTCCTGTCCCTGGGAGAGGACCGGGCACCCCACCGGGAAACGTGTAGGCAGAAAGGGGAGGGCAGAGAATTCCTACACCTGTTGACTCTCCACCGCCTTCTGCTCAAAATAATGCTTATGCCAAAGTGGCTCTCTTTGGAGCAGCATACCCTGATGCCCTTCAACATCAAAACAAGATGATTTCTAACCAAAGAGGAGGGAGTAGAGAGGGGCCAAAACTGCACCAACATACGAACACAAATTAAACTAGATTTTGCTTGAAGCTTCCACTGGCATTAGCATCTACAAATATATTTGTGAGAAAGTAAATTAATTTTAGGTCACCATAAATCAGAATTCTCTGGCTCAGTCACAGAAATAGTCTCTCTCAAAATAAGGGTTCAAACCTCCCGCCTACGCACATTTGGCTCAGTGTTTAAAAGGTGGCCGTTCCCTAACTTGGCAGAGTTGAATGAGCAAAAAGCCAGGCTTCTCCGAGGGAGGGAGGAAGGTGGAGCTCACTTCCTCAGGAGCTGAGGGATCCCCGGAGTTCTCAGATCTCTCGGGGGCTGGGGGTGGGGGTGTAGTTCCGAACGTCGTTTGTTTAGGCCAGTAGTAAAAGCACAGAGGTTTGAGAAGAATTTACTTGTTTATAAATGCGCAGATTCATGGTTAACCCTTGTGGCTCATGTAGGGCTGTTCACGCACATTCTATTTCAACTTCTTCTGGACATGTGCCTCGATTTGGCAAATAAAATGTCAGAGGAATTAACTCATCACTGTGGGCCAAAGTGTGCAGAGTTGGTGCACAGTCCCCCACGGGCCCTCTCCTGGCCCGGGGGAGGCAGGGTCCCTCAACCTGGATCCCTGAAGCTACACTGAGCAGAGCACACACAGCATGAACTGGTGCTGGTTCGCAGCGTGGTGGGAGCAGACTATGTGAGGCATGCTAAACCACCGATCTGAGATGTGGGGGCTGTTTGTTACAGCAGCATGAGTTGGCTGATCCAACTGAGTCCATTCTAGGATTACTTGCATTTGGATGAGTTAATCTCAGTGAGAGGGGAGAAGGTGGGGCCTCAGCTGGCCTACAGCTCAGAACTGCACTTGTCACCCACCAGGATGGTATCCAGCCTGTGGGTGCTGAGAAGGGGGGAAATCGAGACTCACGTTCCCAGCTGGCTCCCAGGTTGTGTTGGACATCTGGGAAGCACGCCACCCTTCCCGCTCATTAGGGTGCCACGCAGATTAACGATGAGCTGAATTTCCACAAAGTGGTTCTGGAATGTGCTTCCCTGCATGCAGCACCCGAAGTGCCATTCCTCACCACGGGCTCACAGACATTCTTACAAACCAGTTTCTGTAAAAGTCTTCCACTGGCTCTAGGTCAGCGGTTTCACACCGAGCTCTGAGACCCAGAAGGGGAGGCTGCATGGAGACCCCGGAGTGCTGTGGGAGGAGGTCACGCTAACAGAGCACACCCCTTTCTTAGCTACTTGACTCGTCTGATTTTGTTTGAGCAAAAGTCTTCATGATTAAGACGGGCTTTCAAATGCCAACGTGGAGTTCTCACTCCTGGTCTTGCATATCAGGGAGTAAGATTGGAGGCATGCCTGGCACTGGCTCCGGTCTCAAACATACCTAAGCTTTTCACGAGAGGCTCTGCCCTTGGAATACTGACTCCTCAGGCAACACAGCACTCAAGGGCTTTATGAATCGGCTATTCTTCTTGATCAAATGCCCAAGTTTTCAAGTAAAATTTTATACTGAAGACAAATAGTAATGAAAGTAAACAGTTCAGTCCTTTTTATGAAGGAAAGCTGCATTAATGTCATATAACGCTCTCTTTGTATATCCTCAGACATGTTCTGGCCCACATGGAATCCAGCTTGGCTTTCACAGGAACACACGGGGGTCGCCCTGACATCAACGGATCTGTCTCTTGGCTGCTCAGCCAGATGGGAAATAAAAGTGAGAGCGGGCTGGGCCTATTGTCAAAGACACAAAGAAGTTACTGAGCAGAAACTGCCCAAAGTCTTACCCAGCTGCTATGAAAGCACCGAGAATGATGGCAAAGACGCTGATGATGATGTTCAAGGGATACTGTTTCCTGTCACAGATAAATAGATGGTTAGCTAGACAGACAGACAGACAGACCAAGGAAAGAAGGAGCGTGAAAACATATGGATTCTATTTTTAAAACAAACTGACAATAGACATTGTTAACCGTTTTATAGCTAAAATCTAAGGAATACTGCTTTACCTAGAGAAAGCATTAGAAAAGTATCTTTAAGGAGATGAGTAAGTCAAACCAAATTTACTGTGTTTCTTAAGCAACTGCCTTAATCTGGTTATGAGTGTCTTTCTCTGTTCTCACTGGAGAGATGCTGAGACAAAATGCAGGACAGCTCGTGCTGGTAGGGCTAGTCAGTATGTACTTTATCAAGCACCCAAAGGGTAAGATAAAATTCAACAGCAGGACTTAAAGCACTGAGCCACCACCCAAATTTCATGGCTAAATAATCTTCACAGCAAATCAGGAATGGCCTTTTTGAATATCAACCTTAGTATCCTTATGAGAAATTTCTAAACCAACATTATAAAAATCAACGTACTCTGATTATGTCACATCATAATCTCTGCATCAGAATGGGTATCCCAGCTCACCTCCCTCCTACCCTAACAGTTTGGTGTGGACAACTGTTCCTCTGTATTCCAAAATCAGTGTACATTCCCTCTGGATCAGGAAACAGATTTACATCTATTTGGTGGTGGTGGTGGCTTTTTATAAAAATCTACCACAAACATGCATTATTTTTCTCATGTAAAACTACAATAAAAAGTCACTCATGACTTGGTTAGTGTGGCAAAGTTAGTTGGACGTCATCCCATACACCAAAGGTTGTGGGCTCCATCCCTAGTTGGGGATGCATTTGGGAGGCAATCCATCGATGTTTCGCTCTCTCTTTCCCTTCCTCTCTCTCTCAAATCAATAAAAACATATCCTCAGGTGAGGATTTTTTCAAAATCACTCGCCCTAGCCAGTTTGGCTCAGTGTATGGAGTGTTGGCCCTCGGACTGAAGAGACCCAGGTTCAATTCCTGGTCAAGATCAGGTACCTGGGTTTCAGGCTCAGTCCCCAGTCCCCATCAGGGTGCGTGTGGGAGGCAACCAACTGACTTGCCTCGTTCACATCGATGTTTCTCTCTCTGTCTCTCCCCCTCACCTCCACCCTCTGTAGGAAAATCAATGGCAAAAATATCCTCTGGTGAAGATTAATAAAACAAAACAAATCATTCATTAAGTTGGTAGGGAACCATGAAAACAGGAGACTGCTTTTAAGTTAAACTATTTGCCCTTAAGTTACAGCTACCAGTAATTCAAATGCACTGTTTGGAAAGAGGACGGGATGTTGAGGATTTGCTGGGGAAAGGCCACAGGGAAGGGAGAGCGGAGCCGGAGGAGCCGAGGAAAACGCAATCACCCGAGTACGATGGCCTCCAGGAGTAGAGTCAGCGGGATGGTAAACTTCCTGAGCACCGTGAACATCGGCAGGCTGCCAGGGGAGATGGAGCGGAATCACATCAGACACCAAAAAAGGTTTCGCATGTTTCACATTTTTATTTAAGGCACCGATTTTCCAAATGAATATGAGGAATTAATCTAATTCTCACATACACTACTACTAACAAATCACATTAAATAATTCTAAAAATGGAGGTGAAATACTTTCATGCCACTTTCACTCATTAGCTATTTAAAACATCATAACATCCAACTACTATAAAACTGTGCTAAAGCTAGTATACAATGTGAAGAACCCATGGACCCTTTGGCAAAGCAAACTGGGACTATCTATCAGGAGTCATTAAATGGGCCCTGGCAGGTGACTCAATTGGTTGGAGCATCTGGTAGACCTAAAGTTGTGGCTTCCATTCCTGATCAGGGCACATACCTAGGTTGTGGGTTTGATCCCTGGTTGGGGCGCCTATGGGAGGCAATCTCTCTCTCTCTCTTTCTCTCTCTCTCTCTTTCTCTCCCTCTATCTCTCTCTCTCTCAAGTCAATAAACATACCCTCAGGTGAGGATGTAAAAAAGTATTAATGAAAGAAAAGCAGGTAAGGTACACTTAATGATCAAAAGTTAAATGTTTTCCCCCTAAGATTAAGACCAGGAGGTTCTCTCTCACCACTAAGTCTATTCACTATTATACTTGAAGTCCTAAAGAGGGCAATTAGGCAAAAAAAAAAAAAAAAAAAAAAAAGACAGGGAAGGGGAAAAAAAAATCCAGTTTTGAAAAAAAGAAAGAAATATATCTTTATTTGCAGAGGATATATTTAGAAAAGCCTAAGGAACTCATTTAATAATTATTACAACTAATGAACTAAGCAAGTATGCAAGAAACAAAATGAATCTACAACAGTCAATTGTATTTATATTCACTCTCAATGAACAATCCAAAAGAAAATTAAAACATTCCACTTGGATAGCATCAAAAAGAACAAAATTCTTAGGAATAATTTTTTTAAAATATATTTTTATTGATTTCAGAGAGGAAGGGAGAGGGAGAGAGAGACAGAAATATCAATGATGAGAGAGAATCATTGATAGGCTGCTTCCTGCACGCCCCCAACGGGGGATCGAGCCCGCAACCCGGGCATATGCCCTTGGCTGGAATCGAACCTGGGACCCTTCCATCTGCAGTCCAACGCTCTATCCACTGAGCCAAACTAGCTAGGGCAGGAATAAATTTAACAACAGAAGTGTAAGACTTCTACACTAAAAACTACAAAATAGCCCTGGCTGGTGAGGCTCAGTTGGTTGGAGTGCCATCCCATACATCAAAAGGTTGCGGGTTCAATTCCCAGTCAGGAAATTGAAGTTTGCAGGTTTGAGCCCTGGCCGGATGCATACCAGAGGCAACAGATTGATGTTTTTCTCTCTTCTTCTCTCTCTAAAAAATCATTAAAAACATATCCTCAGGTAAGAATTACAAAAAAGAAAAAAGGAAAAAAAAAACTACAAAATATTGCTGAAAGATGAAAGACGATTAAATAGAAAGACACTTCATGTTTATGGATCAGAAGGCTTATTGTTGTTAAAATGGAAATACTCCCCCAAATGGATCTATGGATGCAACACACTCCCTATCAAAACCTCAGCTGGCATTTTCCCCCAAGAAATTGACAAGCTGATTCTAAAATTAACATGGAAAGGCAAGAAAGCTAGAAAGCCAAAACAATATTTTAAAAAGAACAGAATTGGTGGACTGAATTTCAAAACTTACTACAAACCTACAATAATCAGTACTCATTTAAGGATAGACATATAACCAATGGAATAGGATCAATAATCAATCAATAAATCCTTGAGGGTGTGTGTGGGAGGCAACCTCTCACATGGATTTATATTTTCTCTCCCTTTCTCTCTCTCTAAAAATCAATTTTTTAAAAAAGTATTTTGGAGAAGCGTCCCTAGCAACAGTCCAATAAAGAGAGCACTTGGGTGCCAGAGCACCCCCTTGGGAATTGTTTTGGAAGTGAGTTGAGCTGTTGGTCGCTGCCATGGAGTCTTGAGAAGCTCAGCATCAGACTGAAATTAAAGATGGTGACAGGAGAAACCAAGATGGCGGCATAGGTTAACGCCGGAGATCGCTGCCTCAAACAACCACTTCAGAGATATAACTAAAGGACAGAACGGACATCACCCAGAACCACGGGAAAGCTGGCTGAGTGGAAATTCTACAACTAGGAGGAAAGAGAATATCATACCCAGACTCAGAGGAGGCGCAGTGCTGAAGTGAAATACTCAGGTGCGGAGTGTGCGCGCGGAGCGGGCTGGCGGCGGAGGGCGCGGTTGTTGTTTTCAATCGGGAGGGAGTTTCAGACTCTGAGCTCCAGATCCGGGCGAGTCTCTGGGGACCGAGACTCAAACGGGAGAAACGGGACTGTCTGGCTTCGGTCGGAACTCGAAGGCAGCTTTCTCTCCGAGGTTTGCAGCCATTGCTGGGGCTCTGAGAGGCAGAGCCCCTGGGGAAGGAACTGAGAGTCGCCATTACTGCTTGTTCCGCCCGCCCTGTAGATCCCCGGGGACCCGCCCCGCCCAAGCCCTGCACACAGGCATTTGCCGGATAGCCTCAGGCAAACGCTAGATTAGCACCGCCCTAGAGATCCAGCACAGAAGCCCTCCCACTACAGACACAGCAGACTCTCATAGCCAGTTAGCCTGGAGGTCAAATCACCCCGGTATTGCCGACATCAATCAAGGCTTAAAGGCAACAAGACTGCGGACAAAGACCACTAGGGGGTGCACCAAGAAAGCATAAAAAATGCGGAGACAAAGAAACAGGACAAAACTGTCAATGGAGGATATTGAGTTCAGAACCACACTTTTAAGGTCTCTTAAGAACTGTCTAGAAGCTGCCGATAAACTTAGTAAGGCCCTCGAAAAGACTGGTGAGACCGCCGATAAATGTAATGAGATCCTCAAGAAATCTAATGAGACCCTCGATGTTGTGATAAAGAACCAACTAGAAATTAAGCATACACTGACTGAAATAAAGAATATTATACAGACACCCAATAGCAGACCAGAGGAGCGCAAGAATCAAGTCAAAGATTCGAAATGCGAAGAAGCAAAAAACACCCAACCAGAAAAGCAAAATGAAAAAAGAATCCGAAAATGCGAAGATACTGTAAGGAGCCTCTGGGACAGCTTCAAGCGCACCAACATCAGAATTATAGGGGTGCCAGAGGATGAGAGAGAGCAAGATATTGAAAACCTATTTAAAGAAATAATGACAGAAAACTTCCCCCACCTGGTGAAAGAAATAGACCTACAGGTCCAGGAAGCGCAGAGAACCCCAAACAAAAGGAATCCAAAGAGGACCACACCAAGACACATCATAATTAAAATGCCAAGAGCAAAAGACAAAGAGAGAATCTTAAAAGCAGCAAGAGAAAGAAACCCAGTTACCTACAAGGGAATACCCATATGACTGTCAGCTGATTTCTCAACAGAAACTTTGCAGGCCAGAAGGGAATGGCAAGAAATATTCAAAGTGATGAATACCAAGAACCTACAACCAAGATTACTTTATCCAGCAAAGCTATCATTCAGAACGGAAGGTCAGATAAAGAGCTTCACAGATAAGGAAAAGCTAAAGGAGTTCATCACCACCAAACCAGTATTATATGAAATGCTGAAAGGTATCCTTTAAGAAGAGGAAGAAGAAAAAAAAAAAGGTAAAGATACAAATTATGAACAACAAATATGCATCTATCAACAAGTGAATCTAAGAATCAAGTGAATAAATAATCTGGTGATCATAATAGAATCAGGGACACAGAAAGGGAATGGACTGACTATTCTTGGGGGGGGGAAAGGGGTGTGGGAGATGCGGGAAGAGACTGGACAAAAATCGTGCACCTATGGAAGAGGACAGTGGGTGGGGAGTGAGGGTGGAGGGTGGGGCGGGAGCTGGGAGGAGGGGAGTTATGGGGGGAAAAAAGAGGAACAAATGTAATAATCTGAACAATAAAGATTTAATTAAAAAAAAAAAATAAAGATGGTGACAGAGTAAGTGGGTGCTACACGGACATGCTCCCAGGAACAAACTGGAATTACAACTAAAATACAGAAAATTTTCCTGAATAATCCATGGAAGATTCACAGGTCCCTGATACTGCATAGGGACTGGTAGGAGGGGTGGAGGTGCAAGAGGGCTGGCCGGGCACCCCAGACAGCAACTGAAGTTCTGAAGAGATATCTCAGCTGTGGGGGGAGCCACTGAGAACTCTGGGGTCTAATCCCCAAGCTGGGCCCCCCAGCAGAGAGCACCACAACTGAGAAGGGTGCCCACACAACATCTGGTCATGAAAAGCAGCAGGGTGGCCGTCTGCCAGAGAGAGAGCTGGAAATACAGGCACCCTCTTAAAGGACCAACACACAAAATTCCCTGTGGAGCCACCCACCTTGTGCTCTGGCAGAGTGGACTGGAGCTGTGTCAGCAGAAGCCAGAATTGGGGACTTGGGGTTAGAGCTCAGAAGGCAGACACCCCCAGTTTCCTGGGTGAGTCATTCCCTCCTGCATAGGAGGACATCTTTCCCACATAGACATCTGCCTCGCCTGGGGGGAAGACAGTCGACACACCCTATTGGAAAACACCTTGCCCGAGGCCGTTTAAGAGATTAAAAGTAACAATTAGCCTCCAGGCAGAAGCAACTGCCCCACCCTGTTGAAAAAAACTCTCACCACACCTGAGGATGATTGCCTGGGGGCAATTCAAGTTGGAATCCTATTAGTCTGTAGGCAGAGGTGGTCTCTGGAGGCTTTGAGTCTTTGCCTGATCCAAATAGTCAGAAACAGCATTTGATACTGTCCTGCACTAGAGAGCGACAGGCGTAGGGGACCTACTTAATACATAGCCACAAACCAAAACAAACAGCCAAAATGAGGAGACAAAGAAACAACCCCCAAATGAAAGTACATGAGAATTCTCCAGAAGAGATAAATGAAGAAGAGATAAGAAATTTATCTGAAATAGAGTTCAGGGTAATGATAGTAAAGATGCTCAACAGCACGAAGAAAGATATAGTAACTATGAAAAAATGAAATAAATCCGTACAATTATGGTCAATTATTTCCAACAAAGGTCCCAAGACAATACAACAGGGAGAGAATAGTGTTTTGAACAAATGATGCTGGGACAAGTAAACATCAATTTTTCACCTAATGGTGATTTAACATCTAGACCAGCGGTTCTCAACCTGTGGGTCGCGACCCCTTTGGCGGTCGAACAACCCTTTCACAGGGGTCGCCTAAGACCATCCTGCATATCAGATATTTACATTACGATTCATAACAGTAGCAACATTACAGTTATGAAGTAGCAACAAAAATAACTTTATGGTTGGGTCACAACGTGAGGAACTGTATTTAAAGGACCAGAAGGTTGAGAACCACTGATCTAGACCCATTATTTCCACTCCAAATTGCAAAATGGTGACTTTCTAACCGTATCACACCTTCTGCATTTTCTATCTAAACTTCTCCAATAAATACAAATTTTCACCATTTCACACAGGAAAGACAGGATAAAAGCATCATTTATAAAGGTTCAGAGTCATAATAGTGTTCTGTCACCTTCATTGGTAACCAGTGAGAGTTGTTTTTGCTGTCATTATGAACTCACAAATTTTCATTTACTTGATACAAGTCCTTTATCAGATATGTGTTTGCAAGTATTTTCTCTCAGCCTGTGGCATGTCATTCTCTTAACACTGTCTTTCAGAGCAAATGCTTTAACTTTTAAAGAAGTTCTGCTTTCATTTTTTTTCTTTAATGGACTGTACTTTTGGTGTTGTATTTAAAAACTCATTGCCAAACCCAAGGCCATCTAGATTTTCTCTTAAGTTTTCTTCCAGAAGCTTTATAGCTTACATTTCACATTTAGGTGTACGATCATTTTGAAGGTAATTTTGGGAAAGGTGTAAGGCCTGTGTCTAAATCCAGTTTCCTGTGTGTAGATGTCCAGTTGTTTGAGCACTAATTGTTGAAAAGACACTCTTTTCTGCTGGTGGGAATGTAAACTGGTACAGTATGAAGGTTCCTCAAAAAATTAAAAATAGAGCTACCATAAGACCCAACAATCCCTCTTCTGGGTATCTACCCCCCAAAAAGAAGATGTGGTACATATATACAATGAAATAATACTCAGCCATAAAAAAAAGGATACAATACTGCCATTTACAACAACATGGAAAGCTCTTAACTAAAATAAGTCAGATGGGGAAGGACAAGAACCATGTGGTTTCACTCATATATTCAATATAAAACAAAAAAGCAACAAATGAAGAAACGAAACAAATTAAAAAAGACAAAAGCTCACAGATAGAGACAACAGAATGGTGATTACCAGAGGGGAAAGGAGCTGAGGGGAGGATACAGAGGGTAAAGGGGTCAAATACAGGTGGGGCAAAAGTGGGTTTACAGCTGCAAGTATGCAAAACACGGAGTTCATTCTTGTGTTATTATTTTTTTAGTCTTTGTATTATTTTCCATATGAACAACTGTAAACCTACTTTTGCCCCACCCTGTATATGGTAACAAAAGGAGACTAGAAGTCAGGTAGTAAGCACATAACACGGTATATGGATGTTGTATTATAAAGTTGTACACCCAAAATTATATCATGCTATTAATCAATGTTACCCCAACAAATTTAATTTAAAAAAAAAAAAAAGATGTTGCCCTAACCAGTTTGGCTCAGTGTATAGAGCGTCAGCCTGCGGACTCAAGAGTCCCGGGTTCGATTCTGGTCAAGGGCATGTGCCTTGGTTGCGGGCACATCCCCAGTGGGGAGTGTGCAGGAGGCAGCTGATCGATGTTTCTCTCTCATCGATGTTTCTAACTCTCTATCCCTCTCCCTTCCTCTCTGTAAAAAATCAATAAAATATATATTTTTTAAAAAGAGGTTTCCACCAGGATCACTAAAAAAAGAAGCCCTCATCTGGGAGGCAGAGTCCCCGAATGTGAGAGGTGGCAGCTGTCAGCTAGCTGAGGGCTCCCCCAGAGCTGAGGGTAAACTCAGAGGAAGCCCAAGAGGACACATGTTAAGACTGCAAAAACACCCACCATAGGGAGCTCTAAAACAAATTTGAGACAATTTAGGCAAAATGATTGCCCTGATCCCAGAAGGAAACAACAAACCAACTAAAACGTATAACGGAAGCCCTGCCACCGTGGCTCAGTGGTTGAGTGTCAACCTATGAACCAGGAGGTCATGGTTCCATTCCCGATCAGGGCACATGCCTGGGTTGTGGGCTCGATCCCAGTGTGGGGCGTGCAGGAGGCAGCCCATCAGTGATTCTCTCTCATCAGTGATGTTTCTAACTCTCTTTCCTTCTCCCTTCCTCTCAGGAATCAATACAAATATATTTTGAAAAAATAAAATAATAAAATGTATATCTGAAAACAGTATTTCATGCTCTATTTTTTGTGTTTTTTGTTTTTAAACCTCACCTAAGGATATTTTTTCCATTGATTTTCAGAGAGAGTGGAAAGGAGGGGATATGAGGGAGAGAGAGGGGAGAGAGAGAAATCATGTGAAAGAGACACGTCGATTGGTTATCTCCCAAACATGCCCTGCCCAGGGACTGGGGATCAAACCTGCAAGCCAGGTACATGCCCTCGACCAGGTACAAACCCTCCACCCTTTGATGGAGGCCCGCGCTCTAACCACTGAACCATGCCTGCCAGGGCACTTTTTTTTTTTCATGACCACACCTGTCCTTTCCAAACAAGAGTGAAAGGTAACAGTTCTAATTTCACAATTCTTCGTTTACTATGTCCTTTTCCTTCTGATCTACCTCCCATCTGCCTCGTTTCCTCTTACTATACAGGCAGGTTTTCCTCCATTTTTAAATATGTTTTTATTGAGTTTTTAGAGAGAGAGAAAAGGAGAGTGACAGAGAGATAGAAACGTTAATGAGAGAGGAACGTCATCGATTGGCTGCCTCCTGCATGCCCCCAACTAGAGATCGAGCCTGCAACCAAGACACGTGCCCTGGCCAGGGAATCAAACTGGGGACCTCTTGGTTCATGAGCTGATGCTCAACCACTGAGCCACACCGGCTGGACATTTTCCTCCATTTTTTTTTTAATATATTTTATTGATTTTTTACAGAGAGGAAGGGAGAGGGATAGAGAGTTAGAAACATCGATGAGAGAGAAACATCGATCAGCTGCTTCCTGCACATCTCCTACTGGGGATGTGCCTGCAACCCAGGTACATGCCCTTGACCGGAATTGAACCTGGGACCTTTCAGTCCGCAGACCGACGCTCTATCCACTGAGCCAAACCGGTTCCGGCTTTCCTCCATGTTTTTCACCCTTTGCACAAACTTAATTATTTACATCTCTGTCACAAGATTAGTGACTATGATGTGTTCATTAGGCCACATATTTCACACCCAGTTTCCTCATTTATATGATGACTGGCTCTTTCTACAGTTCCATTCTTATTTTTTACAGTGACTTTTAACAATAGTAGAGTCAATCAATGGACCCTAAAATAAATATAAATGCAAATTTCAGAAGTGTATAGCACATATTTGAAAATAATGCCTGTTATTTTATTCTCCCTGTACCAAGCCTGACTGATACCACATCTGACAGAATGTTTCAACTTTTATAAAACTGTGATGAAACCAAAAGTTACACAGAAATGGTTTTTCCTGAGTAAGTCACCCCCTTATCTTGATTCTAGAGATCTCACTTTCTATGTTCAGACTTGAACATAAACCAAAAAAAAAAAAAAATCAGCTTTTGAACATTTATAAAAGCATTAACAAATTAAACTCAAAACTCCACCTTATTTTATGCAATTATTAAATAATATTATGTAGCACAAGCAATATCTTAAAAAATCAAACTTGGTCTTTGCACCATTAGAGGCAAACAAGTGAAGAACCTTCCATCAACCATTGCCCTGCACTGTACCTTAACTTGCTGGTGCTTGATAATCCACTGATGTGGTTCCCAACGTAGAGGAGAGGCAGGGGAAACAGCTTCGATGAAAAAGAATGAATATTTGGTTAGAACCCCAATTACATATTTTCCTGTAGATATAAAAACGGTGACATTCACTCCCCAGCAGGGTAAGCAAGTACTTCTGAGTTCCCTTCCCTGCAATGCATGTGAACTGTCCAGAACCCAAAATACATTCACAAGTTTCTCCATGTGATCAAAACGGTTAGGTGGACATTGATACCCATACTCATGGGGGAGCTGGATAGAAACAGAACTCTTGGCCTTGTCCATATTAATAGACTATGCTTCTAAAGGAGGGCGCTGGACAAAGAACTCTCCTGAGTAGAGGACCCTGGTTGGTGAGTTAAGGATGGGTGTTTACAGCTTATGCATCAAGTTCAAAAGGCTGTGAAAAGGTGTGCAACCTTCTGTTATCTGTGCTTATATTCACTCTTCTGGGCAAAGGCAAAGGTGGTTTATATCTCTCACTGGAATGTCACAAGATTGGTGACCCCTTCAAAAAATGTGTATCCCAGCCACATTACTTTGTTTTAAAAGCCTAAAATAATTATCTACCTAAACCAGCCGTGGGCAAACTACGGCCCGTTTGAAATGAATAAAACTAAAAAAAAAAAGACCGTACCCTTTTATGTAATGATGTTTACTTTGAATTTATATTAGTTCACACAAACACTCCATCCATGCTTTTGTTCCGGCCCTCCGGTCCAGTTTAAGAACCCATTGTGGCCCTCAAGTCAAAAAGTTTGCCCACCCCTGACCTAAATCAAACAACACACCTTGTACTTGACTTAGGTTTTCTGAGCCCTGAGCTCCTGAATTATTTTCTGATTGTCAAGAGATACTAGTATATTGTGACAGAGGAACCAAGGTGGTGGCACAGATAAACAATGGCACTCACCTCCGCCAGCAAGCACATCAATATTAAAACTAAAATACAGAATAACCATCATTCATAACTGCCTGAAATCTGGCTGAATGGAAGTTCTCCAACTAGAGAATTCAAGAAGAAGGCACGTTGAGACTGATAGGAGTGGCAGAGGCATGGAATGGACTGGTCCTACACCCACGTGTGGTGTGTGGTTTTTTGTTTTTTTATTGATTAAGGTATTACATATGTGTTCTTATCCTCCCATTACCCCCTGTACCCAACCCCCACTCATACCCTCACCCCCCTGGTGTCTGTGTCCATTGGTTATGCTTACTAGTATATGCATTCATACAAGTCCTTTGGTTGATCTCTCCCTCTTACCCCCACCCTCCCCTACCTTACCTCTGAGGTTTGACAGTCTGATCGATGCTTCTCTGTCTCTGGATCTGTTTTTGTTCATCAGTTTATGTTGTTCATTATATTCCACAAATGAGTGAGATCATGTGATATTTATCTTTCTCTGACTGGCTTATTTCACTTAGCATAAAGCTCTCCAGTTCCATCCATGCTGTTGCAAATAGTAAAAATTCCTTTTTTTTTTTTTTTACCACAGTATAGTATTCCATTGTGTAGATGTATCACAGTTTTCTAATCCACTCATCTGCTGGGCACTTAGGCTGTTTCCAGATCTTAGCTATGGTGAATTGTGCTGCTATGAACACAGGGGTACATATATCCTTTCTGATTGGTGTTTCTGGTTTCTTGGGATATATTCCTAGAAGTGGGATCACTGGGTCAAATGGGAGTTCCATTTTTAGTTTTTTGAGGAAACTCCATAATGTTCTCTACAGTGGCTGCACCAGTCTGCATTCCCACCAGCAGCACAGGAGGGTTCCTTTTTCTCTGCATCCTCTCCAGCACTTGTCATTTGTTGATGATAGCCATTCAGACAGATGTGAGGTGGTACCTCATTGTCGTTTTGATTTGCATCTCTCAGATGATTAGTGACTTTGAGCATGTTTTCGTATGTCTCTTGGCCTTCCGTATGTCCTCTTTTGAAAAGTGTCTATTTAGGTCCTTTGTCCATTTTTTTGATTGGATTGTTTATCTTCCTTTTGTTAAGTTGTATGAGTTCCCTGTAAATGTTGGAGATTAAACCCTTATCAGTGATAACATTGGCAAATATGTTCTCCCATGCAGTGGGCTTTCTTGTTGTTTTGTTGATGGTTTCTTTCACTGTGCAGAAGCTTTTTATTTTGATGTAGTCCCATTTGTTTTCTCTTTAGTTTCCATTGCCCTAGGAGCTGTATCAGTGAAGTAGTTGCTTCAGCATATGTCTGAGATTTTGCTGCCTGTGGATTCCTCTAATATTGTTATGGTTTCCCATCTTATGTTTAAGTCCTTTATCCATTTTGAGTTTATTTTTATGTATGGTGTAAGTTGGTAATCTAGTTTCATTTTTTTTTTCATGTATCTGTCCAATTTTCCCAACACCATTTATTGAAGAGACTATCTTGACTCCATTGTATGTTCTTGCCTCCTTTGTCAAATATTAATTGAGCATAGTGGTTTGGGTCAATTTCTGGGCTCTCTATTTTATTCCATTGATCTATATGCCTGTTCTTGTGCCAGTACCAGGCAGTTTTGAGAACAGTGGCTTTGTAATACAGCTTGATATCTGGGATTGAGATCCCTCCTACTTTGTTCTTCTTTCTCAGGATTGCTGCAGCTATTCGGGGTCTTTTTTAATTCCAGATGAACTTTTAGAGAGTTTGTTCTAGGTCTGTGAAATATGCCATTGGTATTTTAATGGGGAGTGCACTGAATCTATAGATTGCTTTTGGTAGGATGGACATTTTAATGATGTTGATTCTACCAATCCATGAACATGGTATGTTCTTCCATCTGTTTATTCCTTCCTCTATCTCTTTTTTCAATGTCCTGTAGTTTTCTGAGTACAGGTCTTTTACCTCCTTAGTTAAGTTTATTCCTAGGTATCTTAATTTTTTTGGTGCGATGGTAAATGGGATTTTTTTCAGTCTCTCTTTCTGTAAGTTCACTATTGGTGTATAGAAATGCAATAGATTTCTTGGCATTAATCTTGTATCCTGCTACATTGCCAAATTTATTTATTAAGTCTAATAATTTTTTGATGGAGTCTTTAGGGTTTTCTATGTAAAATAAAATAATGTCATGTCATCTGCACTCCTGTTTTTATAAAGGAAAATAAAATAAAATAATGTCATGTCATCTGCGAATAATGACAGTTTTACATCTTCTTTTCCAATTTGGATACCTTTTATTTCTTCTTCTTGTCTAATTGCTATGGCTAGAACTTCCAGAACTATGTTGAACAGAAGTGGTGAAAGTGGGCATCCCTGTCTCGTTCCTGTTCTTAAGGGAAATAAGTTTAGGTTTTGTCCATTGAGTATGATGCTGGCTGTAGGTTTGTCATATAAGACATTTATTATGTTGAGGTATGATCCCTCTATTCCCATTTTGCTGAGGGTTTTTATCAAGAAAGGATGTTGGATTTTGTCAAATGCTTTTTCTGCATCAATTGATATGACTATGTGATTCTTATCTCTCAATTTTTTTATGTGATGTATCACGTTTATTGATTTGCGGATATTGTACCATCCTTGCATCCCCGGGATAAATCCTACTTGGTCATGGTGTATGATCTTTCTGATGTACTGCTGGATCCGATTTGCTAAGATTTTGTTGAGGATTTTGGCATCTATGTTCATAAGGGATATTGGCCTGTAATTCTCTTTCATTGTGTTGTCTTTCTGGTTTTGGTATTACGGTAATGCTGGCTTCATAGAATGAGCTTGGAAGTATTCCTTCTTTTTGAATTTTTTGGAATAGTCTGAGGAGGATAGGTTTTAGTTCTTCCTTGAATGTTTGATAAAACTCCCCTGTGAAGTCATCTGGCCCCGGGCTTTTGTTTGCTGGAAGCTTTTTGATGACTGCTTCAATTTCTTCCATAGTTATTGGCCTATTGAGATTTTTAGATTCTTCCTGATTGAGTTTTGGAAGGTTGTATTTTTCTAGGAATATGTCCATTTCCTCCAGGTTTTCTGGTTTGTTGGAGTAGAGTTGTTCATAGTATTTTTTAACAATCCTTTGTATTTCCATGGGGTCTGTTGTTATTTTGTAATTTGTTTAATGTTAGTCTATTAAGCATGCCTTTAATTTATCTTCATAGAAACGAAACTGTAGGTGACCAGGCCATTACTAAATTTCCCCAGAGCAAACAGGATGTGGGGGTGGGGAAAGAAAGAATACAAGCGATAGAAGAGGCTGATAACACAGATCCTAGGAAAATTCCCTAGACAAAGAGAGGTAAATAAAAAAGGCCCAGCCCATTAATTACTAAGTCTCTTGGTGATCCTGCCAAATGGATTCCCGCTCTTAGGGGCATTCTTAAAAATCTCATTTTCTCCATGTTTTTATTTCCCAGTCCATCATTTGAAATTTGGATAGATGAGACATTTCTCACAGTTTAGGGATGCCATCTGGGACTTCTACACCACTGAAGAGAAAAAGGCTAGCTTAAGGGGCAGGTGCCCCACCCGATTTTGGGTGGCCTCTTGGCCTAAGCCCCATCTCTTCACGGATGGTATAAAATAGGCCCCAGACTCTATTTCTTTGGAAGATGGCGAAAATGACACAAGGAAAATATACAGGCTGTGTTTGGCCAACAAGATTAGTGTTTCCATAATAATGGGTAGTTCCTGAATAATAATAGACAGCATTCCAAGGTTACCTCCCGGGTCCTGGGGGCACTCCTGTTTTTATAAAGGAAAATAAAATAAAGTAATACTTTAACATTAAAGCCACTGAAAGTCAGTAAGTTATCTCTGTTACAGAATTTGCCAAGGAAAATGCCTTGGGTAATAATAATTGACTTTAAAATCTCACCCTATCTGGTTTGGCTCAGTGGATAGAGCTTTGGCCTGCGGACTGAAGGGTCCTGGGTTCAATTCCAGTCAAGGGTATATACCCAGGTTTCAGGCTCGATCCCCAGTGTGGGGCATGCAAGAGGCAGCCAATCCATGATTCTCTCTCATCGTTGATGTTTCTATCTCTCTCCCTCTCCTTTCCTCTCTAAAGTCAATACAAATATATTTTAAAAATAAAAATAAAAAATCAAAATCTCAAAGTTGTTAAGGCAAAACATCCTATATAATAAGAGAGAAACATGTAAATTGACCATCCCTCCACTATGCTCACCAGCCAATCAGGAGTGAGTATGCAAATTAACCCAACAAAGGTGGCTGGTTAAGTTGCATACACAGGCACTGGGCGGAGAGCAGAGCGGGAGAGCCGACAGCTTGGGGGGATGTGGCTCCCTCGGTCATTCCCCGCAAGCCACTGGAGTGGGAGAGCCAGAGGCTTGGGGGGACGTGGCTCCCTCGGTCGCTGGGAGAGCGACGGAGGGAGCCACGCCTCCCAAGCCGCCAGGCGGAGAGCAGAGCGGGAGAGCAGGTGGAGAGTGGAGTGGCTTGGGGTTCCCCAAGCTGCCAGATGGACAGCAGAGTGGAAGAGCTGGTGGCTTGGAGGACTTGGCAGAGTGAGAGGCCATGGGACAGAGACAGAGCAGGAAGGGAAAACCAAGAGCGGGGGAGCACCAGGAATTCTGGGAATAGTAGTTCTGGTGGCAGCCCCAGGACCAGAAGTGGAAGCCCAGAATGTGGGGAGCACCAGGAATGCTGGGAATCATAGTTCTGGTGGCAGAAAGATCTCCTAGACCAGTGGTCGGTAAACTGCAGCTCGCGAGCCACATGCGGCTCTTTAGCCCGTTGAGTGTGGCTCTTCCACAAAATACTGACTTCTGCGCATGGGCCACGAAGTTTCAATCGCACTGTACATGCGCGCCCGCACGTGGTATTTTGTGGAAGAGCCACACTCAAGGGGCCAAAGAGCCACATGTGTCTCGCGAGCCGCAGTTTGCCAACCACTGTCCTAGACACTAGAGCAAAGTGAGCCTGGAGCGAGTTCCTGTTGCGGTGGGGGATGGAGGGAAAGCAAAGGTGAGAGACAGAAGTAAAATCAGAGCGTCTAGGAAAAATTAAAGGGAAGATATCCTAAAACTTCCAGGAAATCTCCACCAATGAAGCAAAGAAAAAAAAGCCTCTATTATTCTGTGAGCAACAAACCAAACTGAGTTGGGGTCTCAGACAATTCGCTCATATGGTTGCAAAGACAGACAGAAACTCCCGGATTGGAGAGGGCTCCCCTGAGGGCTCCCAGATTGGAGAGGGTGCAGGTCGGGCTGAGGGACCCCCACACCCCCCAGTGCACGAATGTTGTGCACTGGGCCTCTAGTATATAACTAAAATGAAGGGTATATGATAATTATTTTTCAGTGGTAATTATATATGTCTATACACAATCTTCCAAAGTTTTTGAAAACTCAAAAGCTTTGGAACATTGCTGGATTAAATGATAAACATCTAAATATTCCAACAAGTTTTAAGTTCACCTAGATTTACCTTTTACTATAGAAAATCTAAAAATATATTTCTTAAAGGTGAGAATATTCATAAAAGTCAATGCTGGCTGTTTACTTTTAATTATCATTGGAAAATTAAGGTTTAAATATTGTATGGTTTTAACTGTGCAAGTTGCGGATGGTATATGCAAATTGATGACAGAGAGAATGAACATTAGAGTGGAAATACTTAATGGAAGGTCTACGGCATGGTTATGCATTTTTGAAGGACATAGAAAGAAGGTTTGAAGGCTAATTTGAAAGTGTGAAATTTGTGCAGGTTGCGTATGTGATGAGAAATGTTGAAAGAAAGAAGTTCTAAAATTAACTATTTACAAGAATTGTAAAAGGGCCATTTCACTCTGAGCAAGAAAGTGAGGTTTCAGTCTCCCAGCCTGGCAGGACAATGTTGCTGGCGACTTCTTAAGCTAAACCAGAATATTCAGCAGCGGAATTTTAAGACAGGAGCACACATAATGCCTCAGACCGCCACCCAGCCTGCTCTTCAGATTGACTGGGGAGGAGGCATCTGTACTTCAAGGATCAAATGTATAAGTTTGCTTACTTTGCTTTTTCAATAAAGATGCCTACTTTAATTACTTAATAAGTTAGCTTTTCACAATATAATCAAGGTCTCATATAAACTCAGTTATATGAGAAGTCAATATTTTATGAGTAATTGGTTCTAACAAAGTCCAAAGTAAAATTTGCATATATATGCAAATAAGCACTAGCCAAAAAGAATGCTGCCTAACAGTAAATTTAAGCTTAATAAAAAGGAGAAAATTAAAAATCTCTTCCACTACTATTTACAAAGTAAACTAAAAATTATTATTCAAGCATTAAATCTCACCATTAATGAGACACCATAAGTAAAAAGAAAGTTACTTTTACTTGAAATGTATGTATTGCAGTATAGGCCCACATGTTTTTCTCCTACCTGTTTTTCTGAAAAGGAACCAAGTTGGTAGTTCTGTTTAAAAGAAAGTAAAAGTCTTTAATATAGCGATTTATGTCAAGCCCACAGGAAAAGCAAACTTTAGCAATGTTTACCCAATTAAAAATAAACTCCCTCAATGGGGCTTAAAAATTGCTCTGAAAAAGGTACAGAAAGAAACGCCCTTCAAATATCTAGGAACTGTAATTGAAAATCAATGTATTAGGCCTCAAAAGATAGAAATACAAAAGAATTGCCTTAACACCTTAAGTGACTTTTAGAAATTATTAGAGGACATTCATTAGTTAAGACCTTATCTAAAAATCTCTACAGGAGAAATGACAAATTTATTCAATATACTTCGGGGTGACGCTAATCTTTCCTCACCTCAAACATTAACAGATGAAGCTAGGAAGGCGTTACTAGGAATTGAGCAGGGAATCTCCTCATCCCAAGTAGCATGGGTACAGCCCGAATTGCCTTTATTAGGACAGATAAAACCTACTGCAAATAGTCCCACTGGCGTCATCTTCCAAAATAAAAACTCTCCTACTATTATTGAGTGGGTCCACCTAGGGCAGTGGTCGGCTAACCGCGGCTCAAGAGCCACATGCGGCTCTTTGGCCCCTTGAGTGTGGCTCTTCCACAAAATACCACGTGTGGGCACGCACGTAAAGTGTGATTGAAACTTCGTGGCCCATGCGCAGAAGTCGATTTTCGGAAAGGAGATAGATGAAAACAAGTATACAAGACCAGTGTGGATGGGAGAGTTGGAAGGGGTCGACCTCAGCGAACATACCTCAATCAGATTGAGGACGTTTTTAGCAAAGGCCAGCTTAGGAGTACCCTAATTAAGTTAATAACAATGTACCTACCTATATAGTTTAAGTTTAAAAAATTTGGCTCTCAAAAGAAATTTCAATCATTGTACTGTTGATTGGCTCTGTTCACTAATGAGTTTGCCGACCACTGACTTAGGGCATCAATCCTCTAAAACTGTAGTTACATGTATAGAACTCATGGCTCAATTAACATCTCAACTCAGAAAGCATTGCAGGCAGCTCAGAGGAGAAGAACCCCAATGCATCTATCTTCCACTCATTGGGAAGCAATTAGAAATGTTATTTCAGACTGATTTGAATTGGCAGATTAGACTAAGAAGATATTCAGGAGAACTTAATTGTCACCTACTAAAAAACAAGTTACTACAATTTTTATATTACACCCCTATTATACCAAAAAATACAGGAACCCATTCCTGGAGCATTAACTGTTTTTACCAATGGTTCATCTAATGGTAAAGCTGTTTATCATATGATGAATTCAGACCGAGTCATCCAGACCAGTCACACTTCTGTGCAAAGAATTGAATTAGAAGCTGTCAGGGCTGCATTGTAGACTTTCCAGGAGCCTCTCAATGTTATTTCTGATTATGTCTATAGTGCTGACCTGGTAAACAGAATTAAGACTACTCAGTTAAAATGGCTCAGTGACCAAAGTCTATTTACACTATTTAAACAGGTACAGCAAATTGTACAGCAAAGACAATATCCCTTTTTATCATTCATATTAGGGCTCATACCACCCTGCCTGGTCCTTTAACAAAAGGAAATGCATACAATTACAACAGGCACATTACGGGAATACCGTACAATTCCCAAGGACAGGCAACATCAGCGACTAAAATCCCAACTTGAAAAACAAAAAGGGGGAATAGTGATACTGGAGAAATCTCCTGTAGGTAGACTACACCAAGCCTTAATTACTTTAAAATTTTTCACTTGTAATGCTGATGGCAAGACACCTATGGAATTACACTGGTGTCAGAATAAGCCAGAAGAAAAAGGGCTTGATCAAATGGAAGGATCCTGAGTCTAGTTTATGAAAAGGTCCCAACTTTATTAACCTTTGGTAGAGAATATGTTTGTGTATTTCCAGAAAACTCCTCCAAGCCCATGTGGATTCCTTCAAGGAACATTAAACTTCAACATGGATCTGAGGGAGGAATTGATGAGACTAATGAGGACCTTGCACCTGGAGCCTTGTCTTGTACCTGTGGCTGCAGACAATCGACTACTCCAGCCAAAGACAGCAGTAGCCCCAAGCAACATGCTGAAGATAAGGAATGGAAGGAGAACAAGACAGACAAGACAGATGACAAACAGTCCGCAGATGACCTGGGGTACGGTAAAGAAGACAGTCCAGAAAGCTCAGCGAGTTTGTGAGAAAACAAGAACCCTGAGAACACCTGAGAATGTTTTCCTTGCCATGCTAGCAGTGATCAGTTGTGCAAAGGTGCAGGTTGCCCTGGACAAAGCCAGAGAAGGATGGACCTGCATTGTCATTGCCCACCATTTGTCCACCATCCCAAACTCAAATATCATTGCTGTCATGTCACAGGGGACAGTGATTGAGAAGGGGACCCATAAAGAACTGATGTCCAAGAAAGGAGCCTACTACAAACTAGTTCCTTAGATGCCTGGCAGCAATTTAAAAAGGACTTGAAAGAATTTAATCCCTTTCACTGGATCTCTTTACATCTGCCTCTTAGCATAACCACTATTGTCTGTCTCAATCTTGTTCTTATGTGTTTAATTCTAGTCTGCAGACATGGAATGAAGAGTCTTAAAAGGACTTGAGCCCTGCAGATGGCATACACCTTTCAAGATTTATTAAGAAAACAAAAAGGGGGAGATGCAGGTAGCCACCACTTGCCAATATTGTCATGAGAGTGCATCAAGGAACATGGAAGGCCGATGGACCTTGGGCGTTAGTAGGGCTGATGCTAAGCACCAATTGTTCGATTGTTCCTGTTGAGATAGTGGTGACACAAGGCAATTCCCTAGCCTGATAATCCTTTTACTATTTACCAAACTTTACCTTTGATATGCCTGTATGCATTGCTAGAGGGCAAGATGTGTATCTAAAATTGAATGAAAAGCAGACAGGACCGAGTCTTGGTATGTGTCTCCAATGACTTCTAAATTCATATTTCGTGTATAGTATTTTCATTTGTGCGTCAGTCCCTCCTTCAGATCCTGAACCCCACTGCAAAGGTCACGGCTGTTATGTAATATTTTCACATCTTTCATCAGAGCTATATGTCCTTTTATTCACATACCTTTACAGGAATTTTCTTGTCAAAATCAGGGAAGTGAATTATTTTATTTAGCTTGGACACATACAGTATCATTATGGTAGCCGCCATCTAAAAAAGGGGGGGAAAGAAACTTCAGCAAAATATGTGGACTGTTTGAGGTACAAAGACATCAGAAGAAAACAGATTCATCAAAAAGCAATATAGCTGCCATAGCTGGTTTGCTCAGTGAATAGAGCACCAGCCTGCAGACTGAAGCATCATAGGTTCCATTCCAGTCAAGGGCACATGCCTGGGTTGCAGGCTTGATTCCCAATAGGGGAGGGGAGGCAGTGATTCTCCCTCATCATTGATGTTTCTATATTTCTCTTCCTCTCCCTTCATCTCTGAAATCAATAAAAATATTTTTTTAAAAATGGATAAGAGAGAATCATTGATCGGCTGCCTCCTGCACGGCCCCTACTGGGGATCGGACCTGAAACCCGGACATGTGCCCTTGACCAGAATCGAACCTGGAATGCTTCAGTATGCAGGCCCGTGCTCTATCCACTGAGCCAAACCAGCTAGGACTAGGATGCAAAAATTTAAAGACTCCTTCAACATGGTCATAATCCTAAACCTTGATCCCAGTAAGTTTACAAACTTAATACTTATGATAGATTCATATAACTGGAACCCATGCTGAATTATAACTGTGGTTTGTATTTATGAGTTACTTTATAATTCTTACAGAAATATACTAACACTTATTTAAAATATTCTGTAATTCAGACCTTTAAAAATAGGTCTGCTGGCCTCTTCCCCCAACATTAAAAATCAAAAAGCCTTTATTTACCTTGAGTACAGCGGGGATTTTATTTGCCTCAGGGATTACCAAGGACAGCTTATCACTTTGCCCTCAGCCCTTTCTCCATCGGCATTTAATCTTTTAAATGCTTTTCTGTACGTATTTTCACAATGAAATATAAAGATGACATATTTTTTCGCCTTAAGGAAATATATTGTTTGTTTTTCCCCCTAACATGATGTTTCAAAGAGTGCCTTATTAGCAAAACATGAAACCAGAACAATGTTTAATCATATAAATGACAGCTTTTCCAGATTCACAATTACACAGTTAACAAGATATAATTTCCATAATTTTAATTTTTTTCTCCCTATAAATTAAAGCAAAGCAGGGCAAATAAAACCTCTGATGCCTGTTACCACTTGTCTATGGAAATCACCAGCCTATGACCAAAAGAATAAACAATCCACAAATTAATATTAATGGGAAATTTCAGAAACAGCCAAGCAGGTTAGTCCGAAAGATTTTCCAGGTCAACTTTATACCTGAGAACAAAAATCACAAACCACAGGAAGCAAACATGTTCTGTTTGGCCCATCGAGAGTCTTGTGAAATTGGATCCCATGCTGGCATTTACCAATGGGAGATCTTACATAAAAACTCAAACACCTGCTTCTCTTGAAAAAACTCTGGAGTTCTGATAATCAGGGCCCCGTGGGCCGTACTCGTCTCCGCACCCTTTTCCTCTCTGGCACAGCAGCTTCAACCGAGTCGCAGGTGCACATCTCAATGGTAGCTATGTTCCCGGTACCACCCCCGGCCCCAGCCATTCCTTTGTTACCCACCAGACAGACCTTGGAGACTGCAGTCTTCTGGCCCCTTGTTTTAAAGTAATTCAATTCCATTAAGGAAATTAAAATCAGTACTTGTTTTTCCTACAGATACACTGTTCCTAAATTCTAGAATGACATAAAATATGTGTTATTTCATATTGCTTCACCAAAAGTACCATGATGAGATGAATACATTTGTAAGCCACAGTCATACACAAAAGCACTGACAACTGCACCACGTGTACTGACTAATTAAGAGCTTGACTTTTCCCACTTACCTGTCCAATTCCGAGAACAATTGGAGATGGGAAACTACAAAACAAAACAAAACATAGGATAACAAGTGATTTTAGCAACTCATAAAAATTTGGGGACAGTCTATAATACACAGTGATAGGCGTTATTTAAAAAGTCTGGGTTCGATTCCCAGTCAAGGGCACGGACCTGGGTCGCAGGTTCACTCTCCCCCACCGGGGAACCTGTGCCAGGGAACCTGAGGCTGCACCCCCACCCAGCAGAGCTTGATGTGGGACCTGAGACTGTATCCCCTGCCTGCCGGGGCTTGATGGGGTGGGGCTGGCTGGGTCTGGGTCTTGCATGATTTCGAGGCGCATGCGGCTGGGGAGGAACTTGACTCTGGGTCCCGAGGCGTGCCCCAGACTCTGACAGGAGGGAGATTTTCATATACATTTTATTAATTTTCTTTTGTCTCTGACACTTCTATTATAGAGAAAAGGCAAATAGCAATATTAAAATATTTCCTCTAATTAATTCCCTTTTAATGTGCCTGAATTTTGTGTACCGGGCCACTAGTTTAAAGATAAAAAAAAAGTCATTTCTATGGCATAAAGAAAATAAATAAACTGAGTCTTCAGATCTAAAGGCACACCTGTTGCAGAAAAATCTGTTAAGAATGCTGAACATGATTAACACAGCAGCCATGAACTCTCCATAAAAAACTACCTGACAAGGGAATGCACCCATTAGGAGTCAAATCAACATGAAGAACCCTGGAACGGAGACATTGTGGTAAAGGGCTGTTACTGATCACTGTATCCATCTAACAGAACAGAGTCAAACAACTGTGGGATTATAATTACAGCACCGGATGCTACCTTACAAAGAAGTTTTAGAGGAGGGGGTGGAGGGAGAAGTGTGCAGGAGTCATCTTTCACAGCAGAGAGTTTATACATATTATCAAAAATTGAAACATGTTTATAAAATAAACATAATCACTTCAACTTCTTAATGTTTTTCATGACCTCTAAATCTTAGAGGGATCTTATAAGAAATATTAACTCTTGTAGTGAAGAAATATATACTTGAAAGTCAACTATTCTTTTAGTTGAACTTTCTCTTTTCTCCATTCAAATCAGAAGTAAATTTCATACTTACATGCAACTTGCATTCTCCACCTTAATTAAGACTTCAAATGCAGGCAGCATGATTAATGGGAGACAACCCTGATAAGATGTAACAGGAAGTTCACAGGGTCAGCAATGAAGTCGTGTTGCCAAGAATGTTTAATCTGCATGTAATCAAGTCTTTAGATCTAACTTCCAGGGAGGGAATAGAGGAAAATAAACTCAGTGAGACTTAAGGAAATAAATCAGGAAATCCAGACCATGGGGCATTTTACACACAGCTGGCCAAGGGGTGGAATGAGGCCCTTTTCCAGATGGAAATAAACTGAAGATATAGCTCAATGCAGTGCATGAAGCTGGATTGGATTTTCATTCCAATCAACTTAAAAACTTCATAAAAACAACTATAAAAACTTCTTGGGGACAATAGGAATAAGTATAAAGTTGGTATTAGATTATTTTTGGAAATTGCTGCTAAATTTAACAGAAAAAAATGATAACTACATAGAAGAATATCCACATTTCAGGAGAGGCATGTTAAGGTATTTCAGAGTGAATATCATGATGTTTGCAACTTACTTTCAATGGTTCTGAGGAAAAAATGCAATTGGCAACATGGTAACCCTTGCATCTCAGTGGTGTGCATATGGGTGTTCATTGTACTTTGCTTTCCATTTTTCTGTATGCTTAAAACTTTTCATCATAAAAAGTGATGGGGAGGATGTAGGTGATCCTCAAAAAAATTAAGTAATTAAGTGAAAGCCCCCTTCCCAACTCCTTTTTGGATTCAGGAAAACTATTTATAAATAAACTAGAGGCCCCATGCACGAAATTTGTGCAAGAGCAGGCCTTCCTTCCCCCGGCTGCCGGCACCAGCTTCCCTCTGGCACCCGGGACCAGGCTTCCCTCACAGCCCTGGCTTCGTCCAGAAGGACGTCTGGTCTAATTAGCATGTTACGTTTTTATTATTATAGACTAGAGGCCTGGTGCACAAAAATTTGTGCACTCGGGGGGTAGGGGGGCCCCTCAGCCCGGCCTGTGCCCTCTCGCAGTCTGGGACCCCTCCGGAGATAATGACCTGCTGGCTTAGACCTGCTCCCGGGTGGCAGAGGGCAGGCCCAATCCCTAGGTGCAGCCCCTGGTCGGGCTCAGAGAAGGGGCGATTGGGGAGTTGGGGCACCGCCCCCTGTCATACACAGAGCAGGGCGATCGGGAGGTTGTGATTCCACCCTCAGTCACGCTCAGGGTAGGGCTGATTGGGGGGTTGGGGCACCATCCCCTGTCACACTCAAGGCAGGGTCGATGGGGAGGTTGCGGTGCCACCCCCTGTCATGCAGAGAGCAGGGCCAATCAGGGGGTTGGGGCATTTCCCCCTGTAACTCACAGAGCAGGGCCAATCAGGGGGTTGGGGCGCAGCCCTCTATCACCCACAGAGCAGGGCCGATCAGGGGGCTGGAGTGCCGCACCCTGTCACACACAGAGCCGCAGGGTGATCAGGGAGTTTGGGCGCTGCCCCCTGTCATGCTGATCCCGGTGCTGGGAGGCCTCGCGGTTCCGCTGATCCCGGTGCTGGGAGGCATATTACCCTTTTACTATATAGGGTAGAGGCCTGGTGCATGGGTGGGTGCCGGCTGGTTTGCCCTGAAGGGTGTCCTGGATCAGGGTGGGGGTCCCCACTGGGGTGCCTGGCCAGCCTGGGTGAGGGGATGATGGCTGTTTGCAGCTGGTCACACACCCTTCAGGGTGGGGGTCCACTGGGGTGCCTGGCCAGTTTGGGTGAGGGGATGATGGCTGTTTGCAGCTGGTCACACACCCTTCAGGGTGGGGGTCCACTGGGGTGCCTGGCCAGCCTGGGTGAGGGGATGATGGCTGTTTGTAACTGGTCACACATCCTTCAGGGTGGGGATCCCCACTGGGGTGCCTGGCCAGTCTGGGTGAGGAGCTGAGGGCTGTTTTCAGGCTGGGGTGACTGAAGCTCCCAACCGCTCCTTTTTTTCTTTTTTCTTTTTTATTCTGGGCCAGCTTTAGCTTTGAGGCTTGGCTCCAGTTCTTAGGCCTCCGCTGCTGAAAGTAGGTTTCTGGCCTTTGCTTACAATGTTGCGATCCGGCTGGCTGAAGCCCGGCAGGTTTCTGGGGTTTTGTTTAGCTACTGTGTTCGTTACATAGTTGCTTGCAGCTCAGAGGCCTGCAGCGCAGGTGGGGAACATTGGAGTCCTCCGTCACTGAAGCAAGCAAGCCTCATGTTAGTTTCAAGCTGCCTGGCTGCCAGCCGCCATCTTGGCTGACAGTTAATTTGCATATTGCCCTGATTAGCCAATGGGAAGGGTAGCGGTCATATGCCAATTACCATGTTTCTCTTTTATTAGATAGGATGAGTAACTATGTGACACTTATAGTGTGGACCCGTTTATATAAAAAGTAATTCAATCTATGCATCTGTCTTCAATCCATCCAAAGAGCAGGAGGAGGGTGGGGGTGTGGAGGTGTCACATCAAGAGCAAAGCCTGAAAGAGCCATTTCTGGGACAAGGAGGGCTGTTTGAGGTTCCTGATCAACAATTCAGTGTCCAACCCACCAGCCCAGTGGTTTTTCTCTCGGGACAGTCAGAGCTGCTCAAGCTCTGAAGGAAGGAAGCAGATGAAAGGAGGCCGCGGTGCTGGACACGACAGCCCAGGTGGGGGCCTGATGGCAGTCGCGTGGCTTCCAGGGCTGGCCCTGTGGACCGCTGGAGGCTGGAGCAGTGGCCCTGGGAGCCGCACGGCAGGGGCATGGGACCAGCCGCCATGGCTCCGGGTGCTGCACGTGCACGCTGCAGCCAGGGGGTGACCAGGCCTCTCCACTCTGAGTCACGCGGCTCGGGTCCCATCCCTGGGAGCAGGAAAGTCCGGGGGGGGGGGGGGGGGCGGTTGGGGGGAGGAGTCGCTAGGGAGCCTGTGCAGGGGCGGGAGCGGGAGCCACCGGCCCTCCGCCGCCCTGGCCCCTGGCTGGGAGCAGCGTCTTCCGGAGAGGCACCTTTTCATCAGAGTTCTGAGAAAATTGAGAACTGGTTTCACTCCTTACCGCCGACTTCCCATTCCCCCACGGATGCCGTCTGCCGCTCTTGCTGGCGTAGAAACCTCACATCACCGGGCGGGTGTGGGGCCCGCTGCTGGTGAGCCCCACGCCCGGGAGGCAGAAAGAGGAGACACGCAGCCGTGCTCGTGAGCTGGATGCCATTTAGCTCTGTGTTTTTAAAGCATCATTTCTACGTTTCCATGTCATAAACCAGTGGTTCTCAACCTCTGGCCCTTTAAATACAGTTCCTCATGTTGTGACCCAGCCATAAAATTATTTTCGTTGCTACTTCATAACTGTAATGCTGCTATTGTTATGAATCGTCATGTAAATATCTGATATGCAGGACGGTCTTAGGCGACCCCTGTGAAAGGATCATTCGACCGCCAAAGGGGTCGTGACCCACAGGTTGAGAACCGCTGTTAAAAAATAGCATTAAAACGGCAACAAAACAGCTGACCACCTGCACAGCCACCATGAATCTGAAAGCCTTGATTTCCCCGCTCATCCCAGCACCGGCTGACAGTTCCAGGCTGCCAGCGACCTCTGTCCAACCGCGAAAAGATAGCATGATGTTGAACTAAAACCAAATAAAATAAGACCACCATCCGCCTTGTACCCCAACCACAATCTGCTCAAAATCAGAGAAAAAACGTCCCCTGAGCTACAGCCCCCTGACCTGTGAAGGCGGTGAGGACTAAGGTCGTCCCTCCGTGCAACCTACAACACGACATCGCCCGAGCAGCTAATGCTCAATCAGATGTCTATGGTTACTGCCGTAACCAAATCACACCAACCCTCCTCCCCTCAAACCTGCTCCTGAAGCATGCTGAGAAGAGAGAATGGGCAGTGTTATTTGAACAGGGTTCGCCCATTGCATAACACACTGCATTACAGAAATGTGAACCGATTCATAGGAGGGTTACAAGGGTTTTGTCTCCCTGAGACAAAAACTCCAGTTTCTCCTTTAATCGTGGAACTCGGAATGCTAAAGATGGAAAGGCGGGAGCATGGGCTGTCTCCCGTAATCCTCTTCCTGGCTGGGCACTGCCCTTCATCTTCCAAGCGCCCCGCCGCGCTTACTGCTCCCTCTTCCAACAAGAAGGCCCGTGTTGGAGGCACTGACTACCGGGCCAGAAAGTACACCTGCTCACTCGGGTTCAGAACGTGGGGCTGAGCTGCTCGTGTCGTCTGGCACAACGCCCAACCACTCCCAAACACGCCCACGAACAGCGATCTCTCGTGTTGTACCCTAGGTGTTCACGTGCTCTTTTTCATTGGCTTCCACTGCATGTGTTAGATGACCCAAGTTTAGGCATTGGGCTATTCTGATTTCTTCAAAGCGGGGTCTGTGTTTCCCATGGACACCAGCAAGCACGCTGCAACTCTGGGAGAGACCTGGTAGCAGTATCGACAGCCATAGGCCCACCAAAAAATACCCAAAATCTATTGCTCCCCCATACCCCATGCTAACCCTACCCCAGTCGAAGCAATCTCGTAGAATTATCTAGAATACTGCAGTTGCTTCCTAGCTCTTCTCCCTGCTCCCAATATCATTACTTCTCCACCCACCCATCAGCCAAAGAAATCTTAAAAACACAAGTTATGTCATAGCATTCCCTTTGTAAAACCTTCCCAGGGACTTGCAATTGCATTCAGACTACAATTAAAATAATTTGTTTGGTTTGAAGGTCTCCCTGCTTCTACCCTGGTCCCCCAATATCTGATCTCAACACAGCAGAGTGATTTAGACCCTGCTATTCCTCCGCTCCTCCCAGTGGCTCCCAGCCAGCTCAGAGCCCCCACGGTGGCCGCGAAGGCCCTGCACAACCTGCCAACCCATCACCTGGGACCCATCTAGTGCCATTCGTTCCCACCCAAGCTCCTTACTCGTCTCACTTAGGTCTTGGCCCACATGTCACTTCCTTGGTGAGGCTTCACTGACCGTGACAAGACGGAATGCTTTCCATGCCCACACTCCCTACCTCATTCCGTTTCCTGCCCGATTTTTTCCCTCTTGACTGCACAGCCACATCTGCCATGACATAAATTCTAGCAGTTTATTTCTTAATTAGAGGCCCAGTGCACAAATTTGTGCACCAGTGGGGGTCCCTCGGCCGAAACTGTGGGATCGGGCCGAAACTGGCTCTCCGACATCCCTCAAGGGGTCCTAGATTGCCAGAGGATGCAGGGAGACTGAGGGACCTCACCAATGCACAATCAGGGACAGGAAGGGACGCGGGAGGTTGGCCAGCCGGAGAGGGACCGCAGGAGGGCTCCAGGGCATGTCCGGCCCATCTCGCTCAGTCCCTATTGGCCAGACCCCAGCAGCAAGCTAACCTACTGGTTGGAGCATCTGCCCTGTGGTGGTCACTGGGCGTCATAGCAACTGGTCGACCAGTGGACTGTCTGCCCCCTGGTAGTCACTGGACATCATAGTGAGCAGTTGATCAACCTTAGCATATCATTCGCATATTACGCTTTGATTGGTTGAATGGATGATCAGACGACCGGACACGTAGCATATTAGGCTTTTATTATATAGGATTCACTAGAAAGCTCCATGTAAGCTCTGGGAGGATGGATGTACGCTCTATGACACTTGGGATGTTGATCTGCTTTACTCACTTCTGTATCCCAAGTGCCTAGAATAGTGCTTGGCACAAAACAATTGCTTCATTAATATTATTGAATGAAGGAGCTGATCCTGCCTTCCCTGCCCACCTCCCAGACATCGCTCCTCCTCCCACTTGCTCATTCAGCTCCAGTCACAGCGCCCTGTCTCTGTTCCCGCAGCAGGCCACGCCCACGCCCCTTCAACACCTTCCCCGCTGTCTGGAATGCTGCAGCACCAACCTCTCCACGGGGCACTCGCATTTCACACCTGGAACCATCTTGCTGATTCCTGAACCCACTTGTTTATTTTCTGTCTCCACCGCTAACTGGGACCTCCCAGCAGAGGCTTTGTGTTGTTCACAGCTGCTTCCCTGGTGCCTGCAACTGCTTGGCGCATAGTAGGTGCTGCTCAGTAAGTATGTGGCCGGTGTAACCAGCCAGCTCATGTGGGTGTCCTCTTTCTCAAGTACTATAAGAAGGCTGACGATGCTCTGGCCTCTCCTTGTGCTCTTTATAAAATGCTGATTTACAGTCTGTAGCAAGTATAGTTTACAAAGAGCCTCACTTATGACAGGTCCTGCGAAGCTCTGGGAGGCAACTTACAGGGTTGTAATTACCCAGCTTTTGCATCTGAGAAAACTGTTAACTGTTAACTGTCCCAGGAGGGACAGCCACTCCACGGTGGAGGTGGGTCTGAATTCACAGCTTTCAACGCTGTTCCTGCGACAGCAGAATTAAACAGGTTTTTCTAGTCCTTACAAGAAGGTTCAAGGAACCGCAAATCTGCTGGTTTAGCACACACTCAATCCAAGACAGTAACCATGGGAACTTGGCACTGTTTTCCCCAGCTGTCCGGTCCGTTGAGAAAGATCACACAATACAAATGAGCTTATCCGCTCAGGACTGACATGCTTACTGAGCATCTTCTAGATACATATTTAAACGTGTTCACTTGTTCAGCTCCTGGGTGCACCTGGGAGCACTGGGACGAAGTTTCCCGCAGCACAGCGTCGCGAGCTGCCCCGCGGGAGGAAGCAGTGGCCAGGCCGTCCCGCACGAGGGAGGGGGACTTGGCGAGGTGTGGCTGGGCTCCCAGAAGGTCCGGGCTTGTGAAACCCGGTCAAGGTGCGGAGCACAGCCGCCCGTGGGCACTGGGACTCCGCTTTCCGGCCCCGCCCGCCCGCCCGGCCTGAGCGCCCCGAGGGCAACCGCGGCCCCGCCACTCCCGGCCCCGCGGGACCTCGCGGGTCGCGCCCATCCCCGCCGGCGGCGCGGACAGTGCGGGCTCGGGTCGCCGCTGAGCGCCCCCCCGGACCCCGCCGGACCCCTGGCGCCCGCCTCACCCGTAGGTGGTCAGCAGCGCCTTGTTGACCAGCACGATGAGGAAGGAGCAGGTCCCGTAGAAGAGCGCCGACAGCAGCTGGGCCATCCCGGGGGGCAGCCGGCCGGGGGCGGGGTCCGCGCCCGCGCCATTGGCCTGGCGGGTCATGCCCGCGCCGCGCCCGCCGCCCGCCGCCCGCCGCCCGCCGCCCGCCTGGCCCCACTCCGGGCCGCCCCGCCCCAGTTCCGTCTCCGCCCCGTCGCCCCGAGAGGGCGCAGTCCAAACAGGAAGGGGCCCAGCGAACCCCAGTGTCGGCGCGGCCGGCGGGCGCCCCAAAGCTGCGGGCGCGGAGGAGCCGCGCGGCGGGAGCTGGTCCGGGAGCCCGCGAGGGGCACCTGTCCGGGGGCGGGGAGGCGGGGGGCAGAGCGGGCTTGGGGGAGCCCTGTCTTCCTCCGCACCTCTTCTGGGGAGAAACGCTGCAGTTCAGTTTTAGGGTTGGTTTTACTTTTTCTCTGCAATACTTTTTAAAGGTACAATTTACACAAAATGGAACGCAGATTCTATGAGTCAGTGTGATGTTTTTGACAAATGCATACACCATGTCACCACCCAGACAGAACACCCCCACACACACACCCCCCAGGGGCCCTTTTTGCCGGATGAAGTCAATCAGAAGTTACTCTATTGCCATGGGTTAGAGTTGCCTTTTCTAGAAATTCCTGTGTCCGCTTTTAAGGCTTTCCCTCTTTTCGTTTTGGCGACTCACCCACGTTTCTTTTCACCGAGTAGCACTACAGTGTGTCCACTCGCCAGCTGGTGGGCATGCGGGTTATTTCCAGTTTAGGGCGATTCTAAAAAACGTTTCCACAAACATTCGTGTGTGTGTGTGTGTGTGTGTGTGTGTGTGTGTTCATTTCCGTTCAGGAGGCCCGGGAGTGGGAGGGCTGGTGCGTGAGCGCGGGCTCAGGCTCCCTCGCTTCTGCGCGCTTTCTGCAGTTGCCTCCCGCCGCGCCCACGCCATCTCTCTCGGGACAGCAACCAAGCTTGTGTGCTGGTGACGTTAACTGAAGGGGAGCCTCCCAGAACCGCCCGCTCTGACCAGAGTCCACCTGCTTTGGCAATTTTTAGTGTCCCATATTTTCACTGTAAATAATTAACTTTAAAAATCTGAAATCTTAGCTTTTCAGAAAAGCTAAATATTTCAACTTAGATGTTTGAGCCTAATTATATCCATGCCATACAATTGGTTTTCCATTGTAGGCACTGAACAACCAAGAATCTTTTCAATACTGATAAGAACTAAAGCAGAACTTTTGACAAATGACTAGCACTAAAAAAGGCAGGAAGGAAGAGTCCACATTACCCAAAACAAGAAAAAACACACAAGACCATTTTAAAATAGAAAATGAATTCATAGGCAAGTTGAATAAAATCATCTGAACTTGAAGTCATTTTGGTTAATTTCCTAAAAAATCAATGAAGTTTCCAGTGAGTCTCCAAATAAGTTTTGACTGCAAAACATGAGGTCACTTTTAATGACAGCCTTAATATTTGCATTTAATTTGTTTCTATGTCCATATTTCCAAGACCATATCGCTGTTAAAATCTCATCCTTACTCAGTTGACGTCAGAAGTGGAGTTGCAATTCTTTTGCAAAGCCCCAGGCTGCACCTTGCCATTTCCAGTGCAGAACTAAAGATAAACCAAAAATAAGTCATGAAAAATGCAAAGATCTGCTTGACTCAGGTGCCCCCAGATACAACACATCTTGAACAGAAGTAAAATGAAATCCCATTCCTGATTTCCCTAATGTAAGATCTGCCATAGGGCTGGCAACACTATGTACACCAGTGTACTTTTTTTTTTTTTTAATATATTTTATTGATTTTTCACAGAGAGGAAGGGAGAGAGATAGAAAGTTAGAAACATCGATCAGCTGCCTCCTGCACATCTCCCACTGGGGATGTGCCCGCAACCCAGGTACATGCCCTTGACCGGAATCGAACCTGGGACCTTTCAGTCCGCAGGCTGACGCTCTATCCACTGAGCCAAACCGGTTTCGGCTACAACCAGTGTACTTTTAACACTAATAATGAACCAGATGAGAAAGTTAAATGAATATCTATAACCTAAAAGCCCATCATTTTAAAGTAAGAAAAAGCAACTCATACTATGGTTCCAACTATTCTAAAAAGATGACTGGAATGAGACCAGAATCTACACTAATAAAAGAGAAACATGCAAATTGGTATCACTCCACTACACTCAGCCAATCAGGATGAGTATGCAAATTAACCCAACAAAGATGGCGGCTAACTTGCATATGCAGAAGGAAGAGGCTTGCCTTCTCCACTGTGGCCAGAGCGAAGGCCTGGGTCCCGGGTGCCGGAGGAAAACCGGTGCCGGCAGCCAGGGGAAGGAAGGCCTCTAGTGAAATATAAAATGTATCAAAATAATAAAAGAAGCCTGTAGAGCCACAGGTGACATTTCTTTCTAAATCTTAATTTTTTAAATCATGGTTGTTATATTTTTGATAGGAAAACAAATTATAAAGGGTTCAAGAATGAGCATGTACTTTAAACTGTAAATTAAAATTTTATTCAAAGCATCTTTTCAAATTACAGCATGTTTATTTCTTATGCTGTTAATGCTGCCAAACTACAGCTTAGCCATATGAAGCATAAAACACTTCAAAAATTTGAATGTAAACCACATTTTTAAAACAAAAAGCAGTCCTAACACACCTCAGATTTTAAATGCCAATGTATTTTGTCCAAGTATATAGCTTATATCAAAAAAAACCCTTAGCTTATGCCCAAGAATCTACTTTTGAAGTATTATATTTTAAATATTTCTATAGTAAATAGTTGTAATAATTTCTGAAACTTTCAATTATACAAATAAAGAATGTGAATATAATTATTATAGTTGACAAAAGCTGACCAGAGAAACAAAAGCCCTTACTTTTGAAGGCCTTAAATTGTATTATTTTTGAATTGGCAAGTATTTGTATTTTTTAAATTCTTACCATCTTCCTTCTTTATGTAATTTCATCAAATTTTAGATTTCCCAAGACTGGTAAGTGTTGCTTTTTATAATTCATTTAAATCATACTTGAAAGGAAAAATCTAGAGAAAAATGTTGACAGCTAAACCAAGAAAATTCAATGCTATAGTCTCTTTTACTGTGCCTATAAGTGCTCCAAGTTAAAATTCTATATATCAGATTACAAACAAAATTCTTAGACCATTACAAATATAAATTTTCTTATTTAAAAAATCCTTCAAGATCTGTAATTTACTGTACTGAGGATTACATTTGTAAAGTATGTCCTCATCATATACATTATTTGTTATCATCTTTCACACTTTTGTTCCTTTCCAAGGCATTTAATCCCTCCCCTCCCCACAGCTACATGTGGAACTGTGACTGCAACACACTGGGATTTGGGGAGAAAGAAGCGTATATTTTAGATAATGTTTAGCCATATCTGTCGGCTACGAAGTAAAGGCGCTGGAGAGCCGTTTCCCCCTACTATTCTGAGGTTTACTCCAATTAAGCAATCTAAAAATTTCTGTTGTTCATGTTATTTAGTTTCTACTTAAAACAGAGGCTAAAATGAGCGAGGCTTTTGCCTACATACAGGAGGTGAGCCGCTCAGCTCTCGATTTTTCTGTTCATGCTTCAGTACATAAAGTGGTGTTTAAAAATGGCATCTATTTGGAAAAACGGTTTAAAACCACCACACAAGTTAACACACATGCAGTTAAAACTACCCCAGAAGCCTACTTATTTGAGTAGCTAATCTTTTCTGCAGTGTTTAACTGATAGTTGAATTTAGTGAGCACAAAATAGTTCGGCATGTTATTCTGAAAAGCAAGAAGGTGGCTTTATGCACTGAAAATATAAATAGAAGGCTTTCATTTGCTAATAATTCTAAACAAGCAGTACAACTGAAATTTAGTGTTTGCTAACAAAAGATCTAAAACAGTTCACTACAAAACAACCCTGTAGATGTCCCTTTTATTAATAAAAATCCAAGTGCCAAATCTCAGTACAGGGCCCATATTTAAAAAAAAAAAAAATTACCAGGTTACCTAGACTTTGCAAGATTAACCACTCAATGTCAGCAAATGAGAAATAAGAAATGTGCAAAAGTTCCCAAGTTAAGAGAGGGATAACAAGTGCTTTTCAAAACTAAACATCATAGTAAGTTGTAAAGCCTCAGAAAGATAGAATAAGACCAATTTTACTCCAATTTTAAAAATTCTGAACTATTATGCATCTTACCAAGATCCTCAAATATCTACTTTTCTTTCAAAATCCGTAACTTAGGACATCTTCTGAAATAGGCAGTTTTCCATTTCTCTAGTCTTATTAGTCACACTATTTTGCAATTTAAAAATATCTTTCACACATCTTCCACTTTCTCACTTACTTCAGTGTTGACAGTATTGTTAAACGTACTAGTACAAATTGTTAAAAATGATCTTATAAATAATCTCTCCTAACCTTCTTTGGCTACATGTCCCATTCTGCTTTTGTTTTTTTTCTCTAAAAGTGTCTTATTCTGAAAGTGCTTCCTGTGAAAACTGCTTCCAATGAATGCATTAAACTTGCAAAATCTAGCTTCCCACAATACGTAGTTTCCTACCCTGTACTAGAAGTCCCATATTTACAAAATATTTTAAACTTTACAACAATCCATTACCATATAAAAAAAAGTGCAATTCTCTCTCACCCCATATTTTGGGGCAATAACATTCTTCATCAATTTCTACAGAATAGCAGCCTATGGTAAGCAAATAAGGTGCTTAGCTTATGCCCAAGGATCTACTTTTGAAGTATGCTGGGCAGTACTTTTGTACAGTGGGAGTCAGTGTGCAGGCTACTGGCGGAGCGGCGCGCCGGTCAGGTTGGCGAGCTCGATGAGCGCCAGGGCTCCGTGCAGGCGCTCGCGCTGCTCCTGCAGCCGCCGCTGGGCCCCGCTCTTCTCGTCGTCCTCCTCGTCCGACTGCAGGTATTCCAGAGGGTCCTGCTGCTCCTGGTCCGCCTTCTGCGCGAGCTTTCCCTTCAAGGTGGGGGTGCGCTGCTCTTTTGTTTCCCAATACCTACGGGACATGCAACCGCGTGAATTAGAGGGTATAGCTGACATCCTCAAAGGTTTACTTTGCTTGTTTAAAAAAGTGTTCTTTACCGCGGTATTCA